CGAACTGCCTTGCTTGCCTTTCTTTGCCTCAACAGTTTGCTGCTGCTGAAATACGCTCCTGCACAAGCAGGCTGCTGATGAGCTCACACCCTAGCAGGTCACAGCAATGTCTTGCATATGCTGCAAAACTAAGGCATAATTCATTCTAACATTCAGAATATAAAGTTAACACATCAAAGTAGTAACTGACAGGGATCCTTTCAGCACCTTCCTGTGCCACACCTTCACTGTCTTGAGAGTGAATGATATATTATGTATTATGTATATATATTTCCCTTCCTTCTTCCTCTCACCCGAGCCAAACGTGTTATTTCTAGCATTTTCACATACTAAAGCAGTTTTACACAAGAGAAATTAAGCAAACTTAAAAAAAATAGACCTGAAGTTAACAAAGAACTCATCAAACTTTGTCATGTTTTCTAAAGCTTCCTTCAAAAGCACAGCCATCTCCCCTGTTTGTGGAGAGGTGAGGGATGATGTCTCTGAGTCATTCTCCAAGTGATGCAGACCTTCTTCACTAAGAGTGTCACTGCTAGCAGAACACTGTGAAGAGCCAGCAGATGTCCCATAAATGCAGGGGGTCAGCTTGACCATCCCTGTATTACACAAGAAAAACTAAGCCTTTAAAAGCAATCTTTTTCTAAATAAAGAAAGAAAGAAAATAAATACACAAATAAATAAATAATGCAGTAATATCAGAAAGGAAAGATCTCAACAAAAAACTACTGCAGAGTGCAAAATCTGTATGAAAAGAAAAGCAGATCTGCAGTTTCTGATGAGATTCTGATGATTTTACTGCTGTATTCTTCTCAGTCTGAGAAGACAACCTGAAACAAAAACCAACTGTACATACACATATAAAAACGGACACTTTTCAGGCTAACTAATCACAATCTCAACTGAAAAGAACTGCCCTTTCTACAAACTTCAACATACCTGTCTCACTGGGGAAACATCTGTCTAGAATGCCATACGTTTTCATATATTACTGAAATTGAGCATCTACTCTGGCTCTAAACTTAAGGCAGAACAAAATAAAGAATAAAGGATGGCAATCTTCTGAGATAACAAAATGGAGAAGGCAAAAAAATCTGATACTACTATCTACATTCAAGACCAGGCTGGATGTGGCTCTGAGCAGCCTGGTCCAGTGGCTGGCGATCCTGCCCATGGCAGGGGGGTTGAAACTAGATGATCTCTGATGTCCTTTTCAACCCAGGCCATTCTATGATTCTATGATAAATGACTCCATCTCTCCAGTCTTTCAAATACAGAGAACATTGAAGCAGTTATCTGAGCTGCTGAAATGTCAGGAAACTAATAAAAAAATAATATTGCAGTATTTTTTAAGAGAATGAGATACGGACAGATGAATAAGACATCAGCGCAGACCAAAGGAGAAGAAGATGTAGAGTTAAAGGGTACCAGCACAACAAATACCAGTCACACAGGGCCACAGAAACTGCACCAGACACACCAGACGTGCTCAGTCAGAAGTCCCATTACAAACCAAATACGTCATCATATTCTTAAACTTCAGAAAGGCACTTAACTTTTTGTTAAAACGTGACAATGGTGGTGATTTTTATTTTAGCAGAAAAGAAATAGAACTAAATGGCATGAAGCCAAAACTAGGTATACTTGCTTCAGCATAAATGTGTACGTTCAAAGTGGGGGTAATTAACAACTGAGACAACCTAGCTAAAGGCAAGGCTCACTCATTGTCATTTGACATGTTTAATGTGGAAATGAGGTCCCTGGAGAAGGGATTGCAGAAGCTCTCTCTGGGCCTCCCAGGCAATGCACTATCACTATTCTTCCTTCTCTTCCGTGTAGAAAACGATGTCATTTCAGTACTTCTGTTCACAGCAGCTGCAGCAAAGTAACATGCAGAGATTCCCCCTTAAACAAATTGGTCCCATTTTATAATAATATACATCTGGCAAAGGCTGGTAAAAGTTTGGAATTCAAAGGACAAATACCATTTAATAAATAATCCAGTTCATTTAATAAATAACCCAGTTCATTGTTGTTGAGTTGATGTTGGACTGCAGTATGATGATGATGTGAGAGACCATATATACTAGGAACACCAGGGATAAAATAAGGTCAAATCAACGAGGGGACTCAAAACTGAGGTTTACATATGTCATTGGGTAGGACAAAATGTCCCCCAGAGAAGAATTGGATTTAGATAAGATTCGGGAGTTCCTGTATGATTAGAAGGAGAAATATTACAGAGTGTCATTGTGTAAGATTTCAGCAAATGAAAGGAAACTGAAGATTAATTGAAGTCCTTGCCACACATTGGCTGAGCCAGAGTGGGGTGACTGGAACTAGCAGAACTGCCATAAAAAAAAAGCTCTTTACAGAAAATAATTGGAGAACTATTGCTCATACCTTAACTCAGCAAAAACACAGTTCTCTGATATGAGGATTTTGGAGCCTAAATACGGAGAGGGATTAGAATTACCTTTCATCGAAGTTACAAAATACTGAAAATTGAAATGGCCATCAATGGCCCTGTCATGAAAACACAAGAAGTACAACAATGAGCTTTAATGACAGCACAAAATTAGAGGCCACCATAAAAACAGAGGGTTGGGTATCACAGATGATGAATCAGATGACCCTCACAATTTCAATAACAGATACAAAGTGAAGTTCAGTTCAGGAACCATTTCCAACAAGCACCAAAGACAAAGCAGCACCACTCTGGCATGCTCCACAGCATAGTCCTCCAATATTACCTTTGCAAGCCTTGAGCACATATGCATTTCAACTTCACATTGCATCAAACGTGTCTATATCATCATTCCAGAAAAACACAGCTCACTGTGTAGCAGCTCACTGAACATTTTCTGGAGCTTCAGAAACAATCACAGCCAACGACAAATGTGATGGAGATTTCAATTCATGCAGCAATTTATGAAAGACAAGGGAAGAGTTAACACAGGCTGTCTCCAGGTCATTCCCTTTCATGAAGTTTTCAAGCCTGGCACTTTGAGCAGTCTAGCTGTGATACACCCAAAAAGCTAAACCCAGCATATTCATACGGTGCATTCCCATAGCTGATGATCTGTTAGAGCTCAGCAAAACTTCAAAAGCAAATATTCAAGTGGAAGTTCTCTTCTGAGCCCCTCTGTGTCTCATGGCCTACTTTCAGAAAGAAGCACCTCTAGGGTGAACAGCCTAAATATCCAGGGAGTTGAGGAGTAACCACTCCTGTTGACGTACATGACCCTTGCCACCAGGTCCTAGAATCTGGCATGAGCTGAACTCTGGTAGGTATAAGTTTAGGTTCTCTGTTTGTTACCAGTTAAACACTAAAAAGGGGAATGGCAACACTGGGCAGCCTACACAGGCAGCTCTGTTTTGAGGGAAAAGGTGGCTAGACTCACCAAGCTAATTGTTGAACAGCAAGTCATGATGGAATGTAGAGCCTAAGAATGTGTTCTGGTAGTAGAAGGGTGAAAAAAGTCATTGTTGTTAACTGAAAAACTCACACAGCATGGCAGAAGAGGACACAACATGCACTGCCACATTGATGAATTCCGAGCTGGACACAACTTCCTGCTGTACTGCAGCAGACTCAGTGAGCACACATCTCCTTTCCGACATCTGACCATGGCCACTTGTGCGAACCCATCTTCACTGAGTTACTCCTGCATGGCTAGAGGAAGGAAGGCACTTTCAAAAGCAGCTCATTACTTGCACATCTTACTCCTCTCACATGTACTCACACTCCTGAGTGTAAGCAGCACAGCTTGGGTGAACTATACATTGCAGCAGCTCCTCTTTCCCAGTGAGCTTGCTGCTCTGTATAGTTTCGAAACACAGATGTGTTACACCTCTACAGGCTATACAACCGTCATCTCTGTTTCATCAGTCCCCAGTGAGGCACAAGTGCCTGATCCAGTTAGGTTTGGTAGAACCTTTGCCTGCTCAGCTTGCATGGACAGGAGCATCCACCCCAGCTCTGGTGTCCTGGGCAAAGTGGGTAGCGGTCTGCACTGCAGGCTGGGGGATATATCTCAGACCTGGGCCCATGCCTCCTAACTTTTGGTCTGGTCATTGTCACCCTAATGAGGAGATGAGGGGTAAAGGGCATTTATGCACACAATGTGGGCTGTGACACACCATTAAGCCCAGGACCTGATAAAGGTCTAATGCTCTTTCAATTTACTAGCACAGATGCATCCAGCAGGCACAGAGAAGAGTTACAGAGGCTGAGTTATGCCTGGGCAAGAACAAACAAGCTTAAACTGACTACAGATGCATATAAATAGAGAAGAACATTTTAAACCTTCAGAACAGTGAGTTCCAAAAGAGCCTTTCAACAATTGCAAGACCTCATATTTTTAAGATGAAAAACTGTTAGTTTTTGAGACAGACCAGAACAGGCTGCCACAGCTTAACTGTATGATCCTGGAGACTCATTGAAGCCTAACGTATAAACACGATAAATGAAAACCAGTGAACAGGAAGAATTGTTGAAATTAAACAACTTCTAAAATGCTGCAATTACAAAGACACATGCAAAGCAGCCTTACTATTAATTTGCTTGGCTAAAGAAATCAGGTCTTGGCAACAGCATTGCAAGGGGCAGGGGGGAGGAAATCATTTATGAATCCATAGATTCCCTCATTCAAACTTCACCTTCTCTTGAAGCATGATGGAGGCTTCTGGAATATCACAACTTAATTCTTTAAAAATTCTCTATCTACTCCTTGCTTTTGGTTCCTATGACAAAAGTGACCCACTGCAATCAAGGCTTAGTGGGATATGTTTGCTGAAGCACTGTGCTGTACAAAACAATGTGCCAAATTCAATTTGAAAATAGCAAATAGGGCGAACTTCCATCTTAAAAGAAAAAATCCCTTTAAAAATCGATGTTTTGTGCTGATTGATTCTCAGTTTAATGTTACTGAAATAGAAAAGTGTAAAACAATGGTTTTTGTTTTTCTTTTTGTTTTGTCTGTTTGTTTTATATATATAGAGAGAGAGAGAGTCCTGTTTGGAAAATAAAAGCTACAGCTTATAGATCATTACATGCTTTCAATTCATCGTTTACTCAGGATATACCAAGAATTTTGTTGAAAACATTATTAGCTGCTACACTAGCAGATATATATGAGAACTCCTCCCTGCATCTATCGAAAGCTGCAGTGCAAAATAAATATATATGTATCAAATCTGTGAAACTATTAATGTCATGAACCTGCTTGCCAAGACACAAGCAAAGCTGCAGAACAACTAACAATGACAGATTATCATTTGCAAACTACAATGCCCTGTGGTCAAGCACTCTGAAGGTATTCCGAGTGTGGATTTGCAAACACATGTAATTCTTACCTATACGGACTGCACAAGTGCATCCATATATCCTTTAACACACCTTTACAAGTGCACTGACTGCTTAGAAGTTATTATTTCCTATATAAATAAAAAACTAAAATCAAACCAAAAATCAAATTTTAATCAAGGAAGTTAACATGAAAACAGCCTGCTAAAATAAAAACTTTGTTCATGGTCCAATCCAGCAAAATCATGTATATCCCTAATGTCAGAAATAAATACAGAAATAGACTCAATTTTATCACCTTCACATTCTGACTATGAAATTCATCACAGTAAACTGTAATTGCTAGCTACTTACAATCTAAACTAGCACATGAAATAGGACTACATCATGTACACAGTATTAGTTATGGATGAGTACTGGAACCAGTGGTCAGAACAAGATAATTAGCCCCCCCCAAAAAGTAACTTTGGATCATGCTGTTTGCATGATATATGACACTTTTTGAATACGCCTGATGACAGTGTAAAACAGAAAAGGCCTGAGCCATAAAACCCTTTGTCTTTTTTTTCCAGTCTTTTTTTCATGACAGAGCACATTCTAACTCATCTACAAACTGCTTGTACAAATTACAAGACTGTACTGAGAACAGTACTGTCCACAAGTCTACATAACACTATCTACATGGACATTTGTGTAAGTACTGACACTGCACCTCTGCCATTTTGTTCAAGGTCAAAGTTGATTTGCCTCATCAGTGATAGACCCAGATGAATTTCAATAGCAAGGCAATTATCATTGCTCATAAAATTAGCCTGTGCCCTGAAGCACATGCACTTCTCCAGCTACAGTGGCTAATATTAAAAGGCATTATCTCTAGCTACAAACGTTCTCTTTTGCATGATCATGCAAACTTTGAATGCTGTTAATTAGCTGTGTAGCTGGCCCTAATATCAGTGTGCATTGGTCATACTTTCAACACATGAACTCACTCACACAACTTTACTCATCACTATTCAAACTAAAATTCTTCCAAAGATGCTCGACTGAAAGTCCCACTTTTGCTGATGTTCCAAACTAATTACTCAAACCACTGATGATGTTTAATGGAGCACAGCTCCACAGACTAATCCATTTAGTCAGCCACAGTTCCCTTTTTACACCTAAAGACTCTCAGCAACTGGAACATAACACTTACCCACAATGATCAGGGACCCATTTTACAGCCATCAAGGAGGGGATGACTCCGTACAACTTGCAGAGCAGCCTCCTAGAAGGTGCAGCATGCAAAACGCTGTATTTTATTCCAGCGATGAAAGCTGGCAGGCAGCAAAAACTGTCAAGACTTACAGTCAACAAGCTGGCAAAGACTGGAAAAGGTGGAATGCCACATCAGTGTATCTGCATGTCCAGAGAAGGGCAACGAAGCTGGTGAGAGGTCTGGAGCACAAGTCTTACGAGGAGCAGCTGAGGGAACTGGAACTGTTGTGTCTGGAGAAGTGTCTCGGGGAGACCTCATCGCCCTCTACAACCCCTGACAGCAGGTGCAGGTCAGCCTCTTCTCCCAGCTAACAGCAGTAGGGTGAGAAATAATGGCCTTAAATTGCACCACGAGAGGTTCAGGTTGGAGATTTGGAAAAGTTCTTCGCTTTCTGAGAAAGCGTGGCTGCCCAGGGAGGCGGTGGAGTTGGAGTCACCGTGCCTGGAGGCGTTCAAAAGCCGTGTAGACGTGGACGCGGGTTGGCGGGCACGGGGCGATGGGCTGGCGGTTGGACCACACGGTACTTTCCAACCCTAACGGTTCTACGATCCAGGACGCCGTACGCGGAGAGCGGCCAGCCGTACACACGGAGTTCCCTCAGCAGGGTTGCGTTTACCTCAGCGCCTCCTAACGGCCGGCAGGGAACGGGCGCACGAGGCTCCGCGCATGCGCAACACTCATCTCTCCTCCCCCCAAATTGAACGATGGCGCCACAGGCCGTTCCGCGCGACGCGGTTGCGTCAGACGCAGGCTCGGGCCGGGGCGGGGCCGGGGCGGTAACGGCGCGATTTTTCAAAATGGAGGCGCAGGGGGAGGGGGGCGGCCGCCGGGCCCGCGAGCGAGCAGGCCTGGCACGAGGCGGGCGGCGGAGGGCGCTGTGATGGCGAGCCGCGGCCGAGGTCCCGAGGAGAACCCCTAGCGAGACCCGAGGAGAGCGGCCGGCGCCATGGCGACCTGCATCGGCGAGACGATAGAGGTGGGGAGCGGAGGCCTGACTCGGGCCGCCCCGCCGTTTGCCGCGGGCGAGGCCGAGCCGGGCGGGGCCGTCCCCTTCCCGGGCGGGAGGCGGCCGCCGGTGTCGGCGCGGCGGTTAGGGTGGCCGGGGGCCGCCTTGAGGCGGGGCGCGGCCCGAGCCCGGCCCCCGAGGGGCCCCGGGCGGCTCGATGCGCCGTGCGCGGCGCTGCCATGGCAGCGGCGTCGCGGCGGGCTCCCCCGGGAGCGGCGGGCCGGGCGGCGGGAAGGCGGCTGCCCCGCGACGCCACGGGAGGCGGCGGGCGCAGTGTGAGGCGGGCGCGGCGCGGGGAGGACGATGCCCGACACGGCGCTGAGCGGCCCCGCCGCCCTCTGCTTGCGCGGCCCCGAGGGCTCCGTGCGGGTACTGACCGCGTCGCTCCGGCGGTTGTGGGTTGCGGGCCTTCTCGGGGCCGCGCTCTCCGTCGCGCCGGGGCTGACGGCGCTTTTGTGTTCGCGTTGCAGGACTTCAAGGTGGGGAACCTCCTGGGAAAGGGCTCCTTTGCCGGGGTCTACAGAGCGGTATCCCTGAAAACCGGCCTGGAAGTGGCTATCAAAATGGTAAGGCGGCCAGCCGGAGGAATCTGCGGCTTCTGGGATCCCCCAGCAGGGGCGATTGCGGCAGGTCAGGGTGGATGTGCCCGGACCTCTTGTTTCTGAATAACCGATGCTGAGAGCGGGATTTGGTCCTGGAAGGTGCAGCACAATCAAAAAGCCCACGTTGGTAACTACTAAAAGTGTTAACGTTGCTGTCAAAATGACTTGAGCTGAGGTACTCGGTCGTAGTTGTACAGTCATCTCTGTAATTGTGATTCAGAAATTGGCACCTACAAAAACATCATTCAGCTGGAGAGGTCCTGAGCACAGGAGCAGCTTGCAGCCCTTTAACTTGTGATGGTCTTTAAATGTTTCCCTCACTGTAAGGGCAAACCTTTACTAAAGGAACTCTTATTTCAAATATGTTTTCCTAGTTTCTATTACAACATATAGTACTTGCATTTATCCACCTTTTTAATGCCGACTATCTCTAGCGTGTGTGCTTTGCAAGCTCAGCACTGGATTTCTCTCAAAATTTTGCTGCTGTTTATTCATTATTTGAACAACTGTGTCTTTCTCTTTTTCTCTAAGATACTTGCATGAAAATGCATCTATATTGAAACGTATACTAGATAAAAAGCATCTAGTAGGCAAAACTAAAACCTTGTTTATATGTCAGGGTTTTCAGGCAAAACATGTATCGAACAGTTAAAATTTTGAGTTTGGTTAACAAAATGTATGTAATCAATGCTGCACTACTTGAAAAATATTGTGATCTATTTTCAGATAGACAAAAAAGCCATGCACAAAGTGGGAATGGTACAAAGAGTTCAGAACGAGGTGAAAATACATTGTCAGCTAAAGCATCCATCTATTCTTGAGGTAAGATTCATGTATTTTTAGCAGTAACTGCATATGTGACTTGCTGTGTGGTCTTCAGGTATTCTAATTTCCTTGTTTTTTTTTCCTAGCTTTATAACTATTTTGAAGATAGCAACTATGTGTACTTGATACTTGAAATGTGTCACAATGGTGAAATGAGTAGATACATAAAGAATAGAAAGAAACCCTTTTCAGAAGATGAAGGTGAGTCTCTTTTTCTACAAAGCTCTCTTTGTACTTAAATGTTGACTTATTCAGTAAGTCCGATTCCAGTGAAAGAACACTTAAAACAGCTATCAATCTGAAACTGTACAGCTTAAAAACTTGTGAGAAGTGGTAACCTAGAGGTAAGTTATGATAAACATTTTCACTTGAATATTTCTGTGCTTTTATTTCTGTTTACACCCTTTGACAGTAGCTCATGCTATTTGGGGTTTCAGAGAAGATGTCAGCCTCTACAGAAAGGTAGAGCTTACCTTTATACACCAAATTACTGTATTGGCCTTCCAGATTCTAGCTCATCTTATGTAAGATCATTGGAAATCTTCAGTGTGTTCCAAGTGTGTGTGTAAATGAAGATAAAGCAGTTAACTGTGTACAAGTTATGTAAGGGCTAAGTTAGGAAGAAGTCCAGTATGAGGAAGAAATATCCAATTTGATGCTTGGTCTAGGATTGTTTGAAAGACTGGCAACTGAGGAGAAATCCTGCTACAGTTTCACTTGTTTCTCATGAAAGCCAGCAGACTAAAACAAAAATCCTATCTTACATTTAGAGTTCACTGTCAGTAATTTTAAAACTTTAAATTGGCCATTACTCTTGTGAATAGTGTTTGCACAAGTCTAGAAAAAAAAAAAAGAAAAGATCAACTGCACTTAAAAAATTTACTAAATTTTTTGTCTAAATGAGTGTGAGAATTTCAGATGTAGCATGGATCATTCAAAGGCAAAGCAAAACAATGCAGCTCCAGAAGAAATAACAGCAAAGTAAGCTGCTGTGTGTAGTGATTTACAGCGCAATCAGACATGCTATTCTGGTTTCACCCCATTTGGATTCATTGTTTGTTGCCTCTGCTGTTCCCAGAATTCCTGAGTTGGTCACTTTCTGCACTGCTGTTTTGATTTACCTGCTTGTCATTTTCTAGTCTTATTCTGTCAAACTACTGTAATTAGTGACTTTTTTGGAAGCTATCGTAGGGCTGGATTAAAGGGGTACTGTTACACAGGCATCTGTTTAATCCAGGTCTGCTCCAACAGAAGTAGTTCATCTGATCAGAACCTTTTTTTCTGAAAGCTGATAAAACTACTGACTTGGATTTAGGAAAAAAAGGCCTCTTTCTTTGATAGGTGATTTCTGCAAATGTTTGTTCCTCTGCAGTCATTGCCATCTGCAAAGAGAGGAAGGGTTGTAAATTGTTTGCTTTAAGAAGAATGATTCTTAAAATTTCTGGAATTGAAACATCATAACAAATGGTACTGTCTGAGACTGGATGAGGTTTTGTTGTTCTTGCTGTAAGCTACAGCTTGAATATTTCCTGAATTTTGTAGAATCAGAATCATAGAATGGCCTGGGTTGAATTTCTAATGTAAGAGAACAGAAATATTATGCCAGTATTATAAATATAGAAGATTATGAGAAACTGAGATACTTCTAGGTTTGCCAATTTGCTAATGATGAAACAAATATCCAAATCGTCTCCTGTATTTTATAACTTGTGTAAAATGAAGATGTTTGGCTTCATGTGTTTGTTTCTGACCGAGTGACGAGAGCAATTTAAAAATTCAAGTTCTCAGAAGCCTAATTTAAGGAGACTTTGGAAATAATTACATGTTTCTGTTATCACAGAAATAAATTGGATTTCTGCATTACAGAATGGTATTTTATGGACTGTTGTAGAAGGCAATAGTGCTACGTTGCTTCAAGCAAAAAAGCAGAAAGTGTCATTCCTATCTCATTAGCATGACACTTAAATGCTCTTGAAACATTCTCACTAGTTAAGAAAAGATAAAGGAGAGACAAGTAGTAAACTTCAAAGGGTTATTATTTTCAGAGCTATGATTGCAGTTATTGCACTAAAGCTTTTGTTCTTGTGCTTTTGGCAGCCCGACATTTCTTGCATCAAATTATCACGGGTATGCTGTACCTTCATTCTCATGGAATACTGCATCGGGACCTCACCCTTTCCAATCTCTTACTCACCAGTAATATGAACGTCAAGATTGCTGATTTTGGACTAGCAACTCAGTTGAAAATGCCTCATGAAAAGCATTATACCATGTGTGGAACTCCTAATTACATTTCGCCAGAGATAGCCACAAGGAGTCCGCATGGACTTGAGTCTGATGTATGGTCTTTGGGCTGTATGTTTTACACTCTTCTTATTGGAAAGCCACCTTTTGACACTGACACGGTGAAGAACACACTGAATAAGGTGGTGTTAGCAGATTATGAAATGCCAGCCTTTTTGTCCAGAGAAGCACAAGACCTTATACATAAATTACTTCGCAAAAATCCAGCAGATCGTTTGAGTCTTTCCTCTGTGTTGGATCATCCTTTTATGTCCAGGTGTAGCTCTGCACGGAGCAAAGATTCAGGAACTTCAGAAGATTCTATGGACAGTGGAAATGCTACCATCTCTACCACCTTTACAGGCTCTTCCAGCATCAGTACCAGTGGCTGCTTGAAGGAAAAGAAGAAGCTGTTAGTGGGACAGCCGCTCCCAAATAAAATTACTTTTTTTCCTAAAAACAAGAATCTCAGTAACGCTTCATCTGTTGATGGGAGTGGTTCTTTTCATCAGTGGGGAATTCAAGGGAAAGAAACTGGCACAAGTGGTAGGGGAAGAGTCATGCAACTTGCTGAAGAGAGACCACATTCCCGCTACCTCCGAAGAGCTCACTCCTCAGATAGGTCTGGCACATCCCACAGTCAGACTCAAGGAATATCCAATGTCATTGAGAGGTGTCACTCCATGGAACTACTTTCCAAGCCTAGAGGAGGAACGAGAGAAAACACAGAATGCTTTTCACCTGCAAGCAGCTATACTGATATGGGAGAAATATTTAAGGAAAAGACTTCTGGTAGTTCTGGCTCTTTTGAAGGGCAAATATCTCCACCTGTAAAAGATCAACCACAGTAAGAATGAGTTCTTATTACGATGAAATTTAGAGTTATCTTATGTTAGAAGCATTTTTTTCTTAAAACTAGATTGCATTAAGTACCAAAAGTTTCTATGCTTGTAGCTTGAATACAGCATATAGGGGGTAATATTTGATGTTTTTGGTATGGAGAGGTTCACCTTCCGCCTGCCCCCTGTGTTACAGTTCTTAGATGCAGTATGTGTACCAGCTGGACTGTAGCTTTTATTTATACTGCTAGAGCTCTACTAATTATTTACTAATTTGTATAGCAATCTGAGTACTTTGTTCTTCACAGTGACTGTAATAGAGACCCTTGCTGACTTCTCCCCCTCATCTGTGTCTCTTCTACAAAGAGGAGTCATTCTGTGCATGACTGCCAATATATGTACTTGCTGCTCTAGGTTATTTCAGTTCATCTTTAGCAATGCCTTAAACCAAGACAAGATTAAAAAAAAAAAAAGTACAAGTTAAGGATTATAAAATGAGCAACACTTTCTGTCCCAGAAAGGAGGAAACAAACAAACAAAGTCAAATATAATGACCTGAAACTTAGTTCTGAATTTATATTTCCTGCATGGGAACTCTGGTTTCTTTATTCTCATCTGACAGATTTTCCCAGCATATACAAACCAGTCCCGGTGTCAAACACGCAAGGGATGCTAGGGTGTTTGGTGTTAGATGGAGATCTGATCTGTGTATTCTGTGCACTGCTGTGTAAAATGAACCTTTCTTTCTCACAATCTTAATATGGAATTCTCAGAAGTTACTTTCCTATTTCAATATAAGGTATATTTTGAGTTGTCATTTCTGCAGTTGTAACATTTTAACACTTGTGCAAGCATTGTTGATGTAGTCTTGATTACATATGTAATTTTTATTTTGCAGCTCAAATTTTCTCTATCCAATGAAGCCCCCTTTTGGTTTGTTAGAGCAGAAGTCCCAGGCTGAAACTATGCAGCAGTGGCTTGGAAGCATGCAGACAAATGGTGAGTTACTAATCAGTCATGTATCTCTGCACTCAAGGTAGAGTTGTAACCTTTAACTATTTCTGTTGTTTTTCCAAATTTCATTTCTTTGAACTTAGATGGAAGGGATTGGCCACAACTGTGATGCTGGAGTGTAATACTAGCATCCTAAATATTGGTGACAGGATTTCAGAAGGCTTTTTAGATAGTACTCTTCCCAAGTTGTTGGATTGATATAATGAGCTATACATAACTGCCTTCAGAAGAGTGAAAAAACTGTTATTTGAATGCTTAGTTTCCCAAAGTGTGGTTCTTTACTTTTTCAGCATTTTAGCAAGAACAAATAAAGGCACAAAGAAGAAAACTAATTTTTAGAACCTACCCTTGTTATTCAGTCCTTACCTGAACTTGTAAATAAAACAGGTGACTCAAAAGACACTTTTAGTTTAGATGGGCAAATAAATAAGCCTTGAAAGAAGATGTGACCTCAGTGAAAGAGAGAAAGATAATGAGGGTGCAGAAGGAGGGGTGGAGGAAAGGACAAAAGGCACAGAAGGGAAGGAGGTGTTCTTGTCATGCATTGTGTTACATCATTTTCAAATAATGAAATCTAATCATAAAATTAAATCATAAATCCATTCATGGCTTTTCTTTTTTGTTCTGATATTACTGGACTCCTTACCTTCTTATCTATAGGAAACTGGAATCATGTGACATATGGTCCAAATAATCCTATTTTATTTTTGGTTGTTTCTCAGCTGTTCTACAACATGGCAGGAGTGGGTTGCTTATTTGGGTGAGGCACCTTTGTTGTTTAAGCTGTTAATCACAGGCTTAAATATCAGAAGTAGAGAAGCAGTTATATGAAGCTGAAGTATAAAAATATAGTCTTTTTTCTTTTAAACAAGCAACTGGAAGGCTTTTAGCATGCACTTTTAACATTTGGAATACTAAAAACCCAGTTGATGTTAAACACTATTGTTAGCTAACTTGAAATATGTGAATCTTAGTGGTTATCTGGATGGCAGCTAATTAATTATCTTCCAACAGATTGAGTGTTAAAGTCTTAGCATTTTGTTTCACGTTGCTTTTGTGAGGTGATTTGAAACATATTAAGGCTGTCATAACAGATATATTTATGAGAGCCTTAATTTTAAATAAACTTTATTTGAAATAACCACTGAAATTCTATGAGGTCTAATATTGATTGAACTGAGCTATTAAAGAAATCACACTGCTTGCTTAAATAAGCTGCCTAACATTTTTAAGAGCTTTTCAAAACATAGTAGCAATTTTTGGCTTCCTAAGACTCTTCAAATCTCCAATGTTCTTCTACAATGCTTTCAGCTCAGCTGAGACCACCTGAAGACCTAACTGATCACAGTAATGCACATGGAGGCTTTCGGTATCATCTGGATGTGCAGCAAGATGCATCGAGAAATGGATGGAACACCTTAAAGGATATACGGAATCATGATGCATCCCATGATTATTCACATTGTTTAAATCAGAGAAACCCAAACAAATATATTCCCGAAGTTCTCTGCCAATCTGAAAAAGTTCAGACATCTTCATGTGGCCTTTGGCCAGCTTCAGAGCAAAACCAAGCATGGGGCAAAGAGCCATCAGCACGTCAGAAACCTACACTGCGAAGTATAGTATCACCTCTCAGTGCTTACAGGCTAAAACCAATCAGGCAAAAAACAAAAAATGCAGTGGTATGTATCCATTTTTAAAACTAAGTTTAAAATATGTGAATGTGTTTTTAAAAAATCAGTTAGGAATTTTAGGAAAAAATTTCTATAAGTAAAGTTAAGTTATGAATTTATACTGCTAATAACTTAGTCCAAAAATATAAGTAAAATTCATTGTAGTTTTTTCTGTATATGGAGTACTGCAACCTTGTGGCCACTTCAAGCAAATATTGTTGCTGCAGTGCTTTTGGCTTGCATGCAAAGAACCTACAAGAAGACCTAAGAACTGCTGACCACATATATATTGCCTACAGTTTCAAATATCTGGACTGCTTATCTATGCAAGTTGCTTTTAAACTTTTGATATGGTTAAAAGACTAATACTTTTACAGATTAGGTAAATAAATGGATTATTATTAATATGAAAAGAGTTTTACTCTCCAGTACTTGAACATTTTTAAATACTGCTTTTTGCCTTTCTCGTAAATGAGGGAGAAAACAAAACAAATCAAGTTCAGTTAATCCCTCTGATTGTGTGAGTGTTCTGGTTGTTGTTCCTGCTATTGCTTTTCTGCCTTTTGTTCCATTTCCTACAGTCTCGCTTGTCTCTTCTCCTTCCTCCATTTCTTCTTAGTTTTCTAAGAGCATAATAGAGCTGACCTGTCTTGGTTTGGTTTGTCACTTAGAAGCCACATCCTCCCTGACCAGGTTTGTGCCATGAAGAAGCGTTCTGTATTAATCTAAAAGTTAGTGTGAGAAGTATTTATCAGTTTGCAGTATATTCTAGAAATATTCTATTGCATATGTTTCTGGAATCAAGCTGTGTTTATAAGACATCTGTGGAAAAAATGCGAACTCAACCTGCTAGAAAGTAAATTTTTTTGAGTTTAACTTGCTGGTTTTGTTTTAAATTTTCTAGGTGAGCATTCTAGATACTGGGGAGGTGTGTATGGAGTTTATAAAAGAACACCATTCACAAGAATTTGTGAAAGAAGTTCTCAGAATATCTTGTGATGGAAATATGGTGAGATTTTCTAGTTTATTTAATATTAGTCCAAGTGCTTACTGTATTCTGTTCTTTCATTGTTTTTTTTTTTAAATTTTAATTTAAGCAGTTATGTGCTTGGAAATGCTTTGTCAATGTACGTGCAGACATAAGCTCTCCCTTGCACCCATGCACTGCCACAGCACAGCCATATGAATTTGGACTTATGGAATAGTGAAGCATTGTTGAAAGATGCTGCCATTAAATAATCACTTAGAGGAGTAGAGCAGTTCATTGTAAATTACATTAACCTGTGCCTTACTTCCATGGAAGTTGCAACTGTAAATACATTTTTGTCCCTCTTGTAGATTGCTGTTTATCACCCGAATGAAGGAAGAGGCTTCCTTCTTGACGACAGGCCGCCCATTCCTCCTGAAGACAGCTGTATGTATAATTTTGACAATTTGCCAGGTAATGTGACATTAATTTTTAAACCATGATGACTAATGTGATGCTTAAATGAATCTGGAGATTCGCTTTTACCCTCTGCTTCTTAGATAATCAGGAGGATGAAACTCGCTTCAGAATAAGAGTCAAAGTAGTTTTTCTGGAAGGTTTTCTGAAATTTGCTGAGAATGTAAACACGTTTTCAGTGGTTTTTATGGAAATAATAAGGAACTGCTTACAGTCTTTACCATGCAGTGTACTAAGCTTGAGATTTCCATATTTTTATTATTCACATTGGAAACTGTTTAAATATGATTTGAAGAAGTATCAAGTAAACTTTAAAAAAACGTTATCTCTAATTTTTACTTCCTAATATTTACATAGCATGGGGTGAGAAGGGGAAAAAGATATCTGAAAGCATTGACAGAATACCTAATATAAACAACTAAAGAGCAAACATAAGCTAACTACAAGTTCTTAAAAATAAACTGCTCTTCTAATTGGAGAGCAAAGTCAGGTTTCACCTGGAGCCGTGAAGCCAGCTGGACCATAATAGCTACTTAAATGATGCATGCAGTACTTTGCTCTTTTACACTGATGTTCTGAACTATTTTAATTGAAGAGACAGCAACTGAAGTTGTATGCTTGTGGTGGATTGGTGGAAATTAAACTCAGTTTCTTTCATATTTCAGTAGTTGACAGAAATATTTACGACATTCAGTTATAAAATAGATATTCAAGCTAGTGTACAGTGTTTAATCTGACAAGTGATAAGTGTTTTAAAGTATTGTGTTCTTTTGTTTTAGAGAAGTACTGGAAAAAGTACCAGTATGCAGCCAAGTTTGTGCAGTTGGTGAGAACAAAAACCCCCAAAGTTACATTCTACACAAGATATGCCAAGTGCATGTTGATGGAAAATTCACCTCCTGCAGATGTTGAAATATGTTTTTATGATGGTATGTATTCATTTTTGCAATTATGCAAAGTGATATTTAAAACACTGAAATACTGTTAAGCAGGGGATGCTTCTGGTTGAAGAAATGCAAGAAACGTGATCTTTATCACTCTGTCTTTATTCTAGTGCTCAAAGATCATTTATTTATTAGTTTATTTCTGGTATCTTCTTCAGTGAGTGCATTACAAAGGTATTATTGACCTATGTGTTTTCTTTTGAGATCCTTGGCTCTACTTCTGGGAGTTAAACCTGCTTACTGAAAGCTGTGTTCCTGCTCCTCCAAGCTTGCCTTTGTTTTCCACTGTTAATTTCAGAAAGCGGATGGGCATCTTCTCTAGCTGTACCTTTAACAAACCAGACAGCACTGACTTGTTTTCTCATCACAGGCCTTCTGTGAACTAGTTGAATTTGCCATATGTAGCTAAACCTCAATGAAAGTTATGATTAAAAAATTATTTAGTAACAGTTCCGTGACTGAGGGTCTGCCATCGAGAGAACGATGTCAAATACTAGTAGGTCATACTTACCCAATTTTTGGCAATGCTGTTAGATACATTAATTTTATCTCAGATGAATGTTTAGAAAGGTGGTTCTTAAAATGTAACAAATGTATGAGTCAGCCTATTTAAATAGTGATCTCTGAGCATAGAGGGTATTCCACTAATGTCACAGTTCCAGTTTAAGTTACAGAGCTCATCCAGAAGTGGCTGTATTATTGAAGTTATTCTCAAGTTGGTGAATTGCATTTCAATTGAGTGGAATGTAATGGCACAGATGTGTATTTCATAGATACTGGCACTGTGTGGAAATCAGACTAGAAAATGCTTTTTACAGGAGCAAAGATACACAAGACAGCTGGTATAACTCGTGTGATTGAAAAATCAGGGAAATCCTTCACTTTGAAAGGAGAAAATGAAACAGGTTTGAAGAAGGAAATGCAAGTATATATGGATCATGCAAATGAGGTAAATGGCTTGATGTTGCCCTTTCAAATGCAAAACAACCTTAAGAAATTAGATACCATATCAAATGTGCTTCTAATGTCACTTTGCATATTTATCATTACAGTGATGAGAGGTGGAAAAGGACTTGTGGTGACTAATGATGTTTTTGTTTTTAAAGCTCAAATATTCACGTAGGGGTAACAGTTGTACTTGCCCCACGATGAAGACTTAGAGAATTTACGCAGTTCTTGAGAATACAACAGAACTGCTCATGCTTAACTGGGTTGCCTGCTATCTCTTCTCATGTTTCAAGTCACCCAATTAGCAGTCACAAAAGTAGTTATGTCTTTGAACTTGATAGATAGTAAAAATGTCAAAAAAATCTAATTCAGCTTGCCTTTTGTTCTGTGACTTTCTGAATAGAATGTAGGGATCTGTTATTCCCCTTTCTAGTCCTTTTGAATGTGGAGGAGATGTGGATTAAGAGCACAATGCCAAATGTGCTGAAATTACCAGGGAGTCTTGTGGTAGTATAGTTGTTTTTTTTAATGACATTCATGGTTCTAATCAATATTCTGGAAGAAAGCATTTCCGTACGTAGGCTCACCTGCCACAGTAAAAGCGTGAAACAATTAGACTGTTCTCAGTTAAACTTGAACAAGCTCTATCTAATTCCAGGGACATCGCATATGCCTTGCACTGGAATCTGCTATTTTGGAAGAAGAAAAAAGGAGTGAAAGTGTTCCATTTTTTCCAATAATTGTTGGAAGGTAACATTTTTACCAGTACGTACTGATGCACTTGAATATTCCTTCTGAGCAGCCTTCTGCAGTTAATGGAAGCAGGAGCCAGGGTTGTTAAACAAAGGTTCATAGTCACTAGCAGAATAATCATTACTGTTATGGCATGTATAAAAATGCTGGTTTGGTCTTGCATACCTTTCTTTGATACTAGGACAAAAAAAACCTTGTAAATTTAGACTTAACCTAACAACTAGCATGTATAAAAACAAGGCTGTGGAAGACTGGTGCCATCAAGTGTAGCCTGTGGTTTATGGAATGAACAGCTAGGTCTCCTTGCTTGTTGCTTTAGTCTCTTTGGGAAAGGTAATTTTTCTCCTTGTCTCATTATTTTTCCAGAAAACCTGGTAATACTGAATCTCCAAAGGCTCTACTGCCAATGTTGTTGGACAAAACCAACTGTTCAAAAGAAGTTACGGCACTGGATAGAAATACAGCAGCCAATTCTACTCCAGTTCAAGCTCCAAACTGTAATCCTGTAAGTACATGAACATTGAGCAAACACTGTCCAGTAGGAACTGAAACTGCAGATCTATTTGAAATAGTGTAATTATTATGAATGTATGACTTTACTAACCATCTGTAAGCATACTAAGTAGAAACTTTTGCTTTCAATTAAACTGTCATGTCTAAATTTGAAATGGACTGCTCAATTGATGTCCTCCAAAGCTTTCTCACAAATGCTTCCTGGGAACGTAGCTTGAAAAATTGCTTTCTCATGTCACACAGAGCTGTCTTGAATTTGTTTTTGGAGGGCCTGTGTAGCAAATAGCAGTCACCTAGTATGTTAGCAGTTGAGGCTAACATTCTGAAAAGGTGCTGCATTTGGTTTTTTTTTTAAGTGTAAGTAAATATTTGTCTGTCTTCAACGGACTCGATGTGCTATATGATTCCATGATAGAACTGTGTTTAAGATTCAATATTCTAGTTCTCAAATAATAGCAGTATCTTTATTTCTGTAAAAAAACAAAAAACAAAAAACAAAAAAAAACCACAAGAAACTGTCCAAATGGTCAGCTGAATGAAGCCAATTTCATAACCTAATATGTGCTGAACTGTATATGTGTTCCTAAAAATGGATGGAACTTCCTGACAATAAAACATGGGAAGAATGAGTTTCAAGCAGGGAGTCTGCTTAGGACAAAGTTTCACTGATTCCCCATTTTCACAACACTGAGCCTTAGTGTAGAAAAAGTCCTCTGAAATCTCATAGGCTTTTACAACGTAATGCTGTTAAATGAAGCATATAGGCCAAATCTCTCTGTACATAGGAAAAGATTAAAGAAACAAGGGTGGTAATTAGCCACTATAGTTGGTGTATAATCTGTTGGTCTTAGCTATGCTAATGTTGTCATTTCTGGGTTTTAGGTGGTGTCATATGAAAAGTCTACACTTAGGGCCAATGCTGCTGAAAGTACGTGCTCCTCTGTTCATCAGACAGAATGCAGCCCAAATTCAGCTCAACTTTTAAAATCAGTCTTTGTGAAAAATGTTGGTTGGGCTTCACAGGTGAGAAATAGCGATAAAGGAGTCTTTTTCTTTTTTTTTTAATAATGAAGTTTTCAAACATGATTTGTGAAGTATATATGTAGAGTTGTGCCCTGCTACAGAGATAGGAAAATTGTGGAAAGATCCTCTCTAGTAAGCATGTTAAGATAAATACTGTGGTGAACTACATAAACTGAAAAACCAAAGTAGTGCCAGTTAAGTATTTGCAGCTGCCACCGATTTCTTATGGCTACTATCACCCATTAGAGTGCCTTCTATCATTCAGATTTCCCTCTAGATACAAGTTGAAGTAGTTAAAATACGGTTTGCTTATGTAGAAGGTGCTATGACAAAGCATTTCAGCTTCATTTAATAGAGTAATTCTAAATGCGTTATCTTTGATTTTTATCGTTCCAAATGATACTGTGCTCTTGTTAGCTGACCAGTGGAGCAGTATGGGTTCAGTTTAATGATGGATCCCAACTGGTAGCCCAAGCAGGTGTTTCATCTATCACTTACACCTCTCCAGATGGCCAGACAACTAGGTGAGTGTCACTAGTGTCACTTGATATAAGTAAACTTCATAACTGCTGCTTTTTGTTGCTGTTAAAACTTAGCTTTTCATCATCTCTTCAAATGATTAGCTTACATAAGCTTTATGAATAAAAGCTTAGAATTCAGGATAACAAATGTTTTTATGATAACAAAACCTGATAATGAAGACTATTGTTTAGTCTCAGAAAACAGCTACTGTATTTAAAAGAGAGAGGGGAAGACAATCCTTTATCCTTAATCTTTTTTTGTTTTCTTTTTTCCTCTTAAGATACTACTAGTTTAGGGAAAATGTGTTAGGGAGAAAACATGTCAACATGGGTACATAGACAAAAAGTGATCAGATGAAGTTTTAGACATCTTTTGGATGCAGGGCACTTGCTTTACTCATACAGCCATTCAGTAACATGCTTCCTCTGTGTGAAGTTCAAGATGGTAACACACGATCTGGATATTATTATAGCTTACCGACATTTTTACATTAAATGTTCTTATTCTGAAATACTTTTTCAGTTAAATACAAATAGGGATTGGAGGGGAACAGGCCATCAAACTTGAGTTAATTCTTCTATTTCCTTATATATGCAAACCTCCAAATCAGGTACATATTTGAATTTTATGTTCTTATTTGCCTTTGCAGGTATGGAGAAAATGATAAGTTGCCGGAATACATCAAAGAGAAGTTGCACTGTCTGTCTTCTATTCTTGTGATGTTTACCAATCCAACTGGTCCCCACTGATAAAAGCAAAGCAGGTCTTTGGGCACAAGAGCTTAATAAACACACTCACTGACGTGAAAGTGACTGATTTTACTAAGCTTATCCAGAAATTCTTCAAAATTCTGGTTTAAAAAAAAAATAGGAAGGGAAGGGTTGTTCTACAATTTTTTTTTGTAAGATACTTTACAAGCACATTTTTCCTCAAAATGATGGATAAACTTGCTCAAGCAAAACATTGAGCAACTTAATTCTAAATGACCTCACATTTTTGGAAATAATCTTTTCTATTTTTTTCTTCCCCCACTGCTTACTCAGTGATGATAATCAAGGAAAACATATCTGTGCTGTTCAAGTGTTTGTGTTTGTAAATAACTTGTATTTTTACGTCTTACAAGTAATATGTAAATATGTACATGTTTTATACCTTTTTGTTTTTATTTTTGTAGCAGCAGCTTTTGAATTCCCTGCACAAGCATTTTATACCCCCAAAAAATAAATGCAGTGGTAAGCATCCAGCTCTCTTTGTTTCATATTCAAGTTCATTGAGACTCTTTTCCTGTAAGTAGTAAAGTTCAACTGTACCAGAAGCTGATGTGTTATTTTAGAGCATCATATGTTGGTATACGGATGAAGCTCAGGGCAAATAACTATAAAATGATTGTACAAAGCTTCTTCTCACTTGCTGAACTGAACATTCACACAATGGTTTTGTATGTTTAGTATTCTACCCCTAGACTACAGGTAACTGAAGTATGTACAGATGAAATTCGATTGGAAAAGCAAATTACGCTTCCTGTAGTGAAATGATTCCATTTGTTATATAATCATCAGTTGTTATTAACTTCAGACACTTACCCTTTCTTACGTGTTATGAATCACGCTATTATAAACAAGTAACAAACTGAACCAGCACTGTGAGTAGCTGTTTGAAAGCATTTCTTATGTGTTGATATTCCCATTTATATTATCACTCATGGATAGAATGTGAGCGTTCTTTCAGCTCTGTGATAAACCAGGTAGGCTGCAAGGCAATCAGTGCTTTTAAAATATTTCTGTTTATAGTATGCCTGCCATTCATAGTACCAATTCACCCTTGATGACATATGGGCCATCTCTGTGTTTAAAAATTTGTAATATTGCTCACACTGAAAATCTTCAGGCATAATCCACTTTGGATGTGCCAACTGAGTGTACATACAGTTGAGGAAAGCCTAAGTAGTGAACACCAGGAAGTGAAAAGGCATAAATGCTTAAAAAATGGTTCCACTAATTTACAAAGACATGTGACAGGGAGGTAAGTGCAGTTAAGTTACAGTATAGACCAAAAGACCTTTCAACAACAAGAATAGTTTATAAGATTCAAAGACTGATAACCTGTAACAATCATGTAGCAGCTTAAATAACAGTAGAATTGCTGAAAATACAACTCCTGTGGCAAAAGCATTTGAAATCTTCAATGTATTGTTAAGGTGTATTAAGTACTTTGAATATTTACTGTTTTTATCCTTAATCCATGAAAATAATAAAAATGCTTTGTCCTAACAGTCAGCACAAACTTAGTTGTAGAACACAAAATTTGAATTGCTGCTAGCCTCCTTGAAAACACTCTCTAGCCTCTAATTTCTCATGTCCAAAGAACTTGTGATTGATGTAATTGTAAGTTTTTGTTTGTTCATCTTCACCACTAACATAGCAAAGTCATTTTTCATAATGTTTTGGAGTTCTGCAGCAAGACATTTTGCATTCACTTGAGTAGGTGTTGAAAAAATCATCTTTTAATTCTGTAGTCATTCAGTGCTTTAACAGTTAAGTAACATTACTTTATTATTAATATATTAATATATTCAGAAAACATCAGATAGTAAGTATGTTAAACAGCAGCTATAACTTGTATTTACTGGAGTTATTTCAGGTTTTTTTTCCCCAGTAGGACTGAAACATCAAATGAATGCGTACAGATTAACTTCGGCCCTGTTAAGAAGGAAAAATAATTCACTTCCTAAAGTAAAAATAATTGATTCAAAGGTAAACCCATTTCTTACACTACATTATCAGAAAATAAGTCTACAGATAAAAGTAAACATTTAAGGAACCATCAGTTTCCTCCTTTTTACTTAATTAGCATTAGTTCAGACTGATTACTCGGTGGTGGCACAGTGCACTCAATTTCATCATCAACAATGGAACTGTACACTATTATGCTTACTAACTCCTCCTTCGAGTAAGGTTATGAAAAGCTATACTTTGCTCTTGCAGGTTAACCTTCTTGCTATAAAAAGGCATTGAATGCAACAGTACCGAAACAGAGTATTAATTACTGTAGTTCAAGTAAGTCATAAAGATTGATTTTTTTTTTTCCCAATGGCTCTTAACTAACTTAAGTAGCTATTTTTGTGAAGCAGGCATGTGTTCTACAATTGTCACACTTAAAGTTCTTACACTGCTAATGTAGAGTTCCAAGTAAGACAATTTACATTAACCAGTGCTCAGAAGCTAGCAAACTAGCATCCAGTAGTTAATTTACGTAGTGATTTTTCTGTACAAAGTGCTTGCAGCAAAACTAATCTCATAGTTAGAGTTACTAATCCTGATTCACAGAATCAAGATATACTGTTTCCTGAAAGGGACATTCTTAGCCTGTGACCTTCACTGTTGCACTTGGTGCACATGTGCATGTAAGCATTTCAAATGTGCCACTGTATTGATTCAACTCATTCACATCCTTCTGCTGCTGCTAGAAAAGTGGAATACAAAAAGCTCTATTGCAGCAGGTATAACAGTATATTAGGATATGATGAATTTGTGTTCTGTCAATGCATAAGTACATATCTGCAGTTCTTATCACACATCCACCAAGGTCAGTGGTTAGGAATTCCCATCAAATAGTAGCAACTGTTATTTTTTTAAATTGTTTTTATCTTCTCATTGCTTATGTATTTAACTAACTCCTCTCTTCTTGCATCCTTCCGTATCTGACAGAAAATGCAATAAGTCTCTTGTATACTACTTCCAAGACTAACAGAGAGACTACAACCACTCCACATATTAAGCTAAATGCCCAGCGTGGTCCCAAGTGAGTGTATATTTGGCTCACAAAAACCGGTCCAAGTATGCGTGCTCCACTTCCAGAAGCAGTTAACCATCCCATGTAGACACCCTAAAACAGAGATAGTTAGACAGGATTTAGCCAGCCAGGAATTCCCACCAACTGTCTGAATTAAAAAATACAGAAATGTCTAAGCGCTTCTCATTTTTCTGAAATTCTATTAAACTAATAATTTATTTAATAATTTTGTGGCCTCACAAGAGCTGAGTAGAGGGGGACAATCACCTCCCTCTCCCTGCTGGCCACTCCTCTTGTAGTGCAGCCCAGAACCCAGTTGGCCTTCTGGGCTGCAAGTGCCCTCATCTTAGTGAAGAAAGTGGGAAATAAGTGAAACAAACTGATAAGGCATTGTGCTTACCTGAGGTTTTGGGCCTAGAATTTTTGAGTATAAAGTGTAGGACATAACATTACAAACTGGATAGCCCAATCCTATTAGTATGTCAGAGCTGATATACTGAGCCAGATAGATCATGGGAGTACTCAGGCACCAAGACTGTGTGATGGGGCAGCCTGCAGGTTCTGAATGGTTGGATGGAAGCTGTATTACTTGCAAATTCCAGAAAGGCATCACCATTTCACTGGGGGTTGTTTGGGGAATGGAATTATTCTTTATTGCTGTAAAAACAAGTAAAATGTGCCATAAAGAAGAGATACAATAAAAATGTTTCAATAAAACATTATGACTGTAGTTCAGCATAACTTGGAATTATACCTTGCCACTGGATATTTGGTAGTTTTTTCCCCCAAGGCAGTAAGATAAAGAATCCAATTAAGACAATCAGTAAGCCTCCATGGAGTATGGCACGTTCACCTGTCCTATCAAACAATGAAATTAAAGATATTGTTTAAAGTATTATTTGGGAAGGTGTTAGTGACATAGCCCACTCACTAACTTGTAGAAAAGATGCCCACCAAAACATCTGCAACAAGAATAGCAAAATCACAGTTTTAAGTTACTGTGGTTTTTCTTGTGATTCTAGGGTAAAAGACAGACAAGGAAGGGGGCGTATTACTAGAACAAAAAAAAAAACTGTAGTATCATGGCTCTGTCAAAATCAGAAGTACTTCACTGTCGTAGCATGCCCAAATTCACTGACAAGTAGGAGACTTCCAGAATACAGATTTGGACTTGGTATAAAACTTCTCAGGCTTAGCTAACATAAGTTACATATAACTTATATACATATAATATATACATATAACTTATATACATATACAATAACATTCCAAGAAAATCCATCAACTCACTTTTTAGACAGCGTTTTCACCACCATGAAAACAATAACTGATTCAACGCCAATTGCACTAAGGATTATCCCATTATAGAAAACAGCCTTCTCCCTGGTCCAGGAATACATATCCATCGTCAACGGAGTAGCTATGCTAAATTGACAATGCAAAATGCCATTGTTATTATTATTTATTAAGACAACATGTAAACAAAAATCAAACATCTTCTCTACAGCATTTCTGTACATAAATTGTCCTTAACATCAAACACAGTGGTGTAGAAGCATTTTCTTCCAGCAAGCACATCAGTGAACACAGACTGATTATAAATTATTTCTGTCATTTACAAAATAATAAATCCACTAGACCAAATTCAATACTGCAACACAACAGCCAGTTCTTGAAGAATACGCAATATATTTTTTTTGATGACTTATGAAAAGATGATAGAATTATTTTCTTACATAAAGAAAATAGGAGAGTGAATAGATTACCTCCTTATATGTATTAAAAAAAGCAAAAAAAACAGGTAGTGTAAAATTGTGTATTTAAAAATATTATTGCATGAACAATATAAAATATTGCAAATATAACTGCATTATCAACTGTTTCAATCATTACCAAAATAAGCTTTACTGGAGCTTTCAGAGTTAAGAAGTTCAAGATATGTATATGCATTCATTCAAAACCTTTTACATGACTGTTCCACATACCACACTGTGCTACATATTTTTACTTATTCCTGCACTTTAATTCATTATTGTCTATCAGGATACAGCAATTTAATTGCATATGGTTTGGAACTTAGAAACACTTTATTTATAAAGAGTATGATTAAGAAAATGAATAGAAAAATTTCACATGAATACTCTGCTAGACTATGTTATATGTCACAGCATTTTGGGAGAACACAGCCACACTTACGTTTCAAAGACTGCAAACACAAACAAGATGACAAAGAAAAGAAAATTTACTGCTACAACAGCAACATGGTCAATGTTTCCTTCTGCATCCTGATCCAGAACACCACTTTCTGAAACAAAAGAACAATCAAATCTGCAAACTAAGCTTTTTTACATGATGATTACAAACAGTAATATATTTTTTTTACTTTGTTAAGTATTTAACACACAGTTTGGTGGGCAGGCAGACAGTTATGCTTTGACCATTTAAGTAAAACGTTTTTCAGATCCAAATGGAATTGCTAAAACTCCAATTCCTCTGAGAGAAAATGATTTCAAATTGTTTATGCCATCTGCTGTCGCACTGTAATGCTGAGACTGACAAGTCCTGAGCAGCAGCAAAACAAGCAAACTGCTCTACACATCTTTACAGAGGAAAGCGGAACACCCGCAGTTCCTCTGACAAGGTCAGAAGGACACAGCAGTGTAATTCCCCGTGTGACAGTGGAGGCTTTGTTTCTCTGACTCCCCACAAAGCATTTTCATGCATAGCTGTAAAGGAATACTTCCCAATTATAATCATAGGGTAAACTTCAAAGAAAACACAGATACCTTCTCCTTCACAATTGATACTGTTGCATTGCCGTCCCATGTCATCCACTCGGTGCTCTCTGGAAATGCAGAACTGTTTTCAATAATACACATATTCACTTGATCTATTACTAAGCATATTTCTAAATGGCATCATCTCTTATTCTAATTACTCCCAGCTCCTTTAAATACCACCTGCACAGTCTACATTTAACTGCAGTGACCAGCACTGCATTTAAAAAGCAAAATATTCTGGTGGGAGAATATTAACATCTGTCATTGCCACTAGTGGGATAACTGCATAAAAATCCTCTCTCAACATTCTTAAAAGAAATCCACAGAACCCTGAAGCACGCTACCTTTATTTCTCTTTAAAGAAAAAACATGTACAGAAATCAATGTAATGCAAAAGATCTATATTACAGAAAGTAGAAAGTCTGAAGTAATAAGAGATAAAGATTTTCAGTTTCGGCACTCCAGATTTCAGGCTTACTGTTCCTTTTAACCAATGCAAAGTTCATTGTAATCCACCCACTAAACCGAGGGAGAATATTTTGTAATTTTTCAATTTGATTACCTGAATATAGCAAAGATGAGAATAATATTAATAATTCCTAAAAGAGCACCAAATAGAACTGGTGCTGTATACATGTTCAGCTGAAGATGAATTGATTTCCATGTTATTCCTTCCTCTCCAATAAGCGTAAAACAAGTCTGAAAAACTAAAAACAAGCATATTAAGAAAATATTACAGCATGTAGAATAAACATATAACAACTTTGCTTACCTAGTTTTATAATTGCCTAATAAAATATTTTACATGTCAGTCTTCTTACATTTTGAGAATCCTGTTCTAAATGAACTCATGGATACCATGGGAATCTCAACTAGCCAGAGAAGTTCTTTGTAACATTTAAATAATACGCATGTAACATATATACTGTACATGAAACGGAATGACATTTAAGTAACTCAGTTTTCAACTCTGAAATGTACCAGTGGTTAATCTTTGCCATGTGCAGATGACTGATTTACTCTTTTTCCTAATCCTTCTGTATGGAAACCGTTGGCCCTGGGACTGGAGTATCTCTAAAGGAGAGCTAAAGAGAATAATACTATTTTATTTGCAATGAAGTTTAAATCATCGCAGAGCAAAAGAATGTACGATTATGTCATTTACCATGAGGAAACAGACAAACGGTCCCTATCAAATTAGAAAAAGGAATTAGCTGAATTTATGCCCAGTGCAAACTGTAGAAACAATGCAAATTTGTTTGCTGCTTGTAGACCCTTTAATACTGTATCAACAGTTTATAGCAACTAGACAGCAGTTGTAACTCAAAAAACCACTCTGCCCTAAACTTCTCCTCATTGTATCACTGTACACAGAGCACTTCAGGCCTAATGACTGATTATCTTCATCTCCAACTTCAAGAGACAACTAAAGATTAAAGGCTGCTTAGGATAACATTGCCCGTCACTTTTCACAACACAAGCCAAGTCCAAACCATTTCTCCCACTAAGTTGATAAGGGTATCTCCCCTCTTTGGAGCTACATAACACCAGACCCAACAAACACCACTTGAGTTTAATTCCCTGAGCAATCTGTAATATTTATTACTACTTCTTTATTTTTTGTCAATATGAAGACTTCCTGATGCTCACTATAAGATCAGAAAGATCTCTTGGATGTTATTTTCTACAGCATGTGAAGCAAAGTAGATTTTCAGTCATTTCTGAAAAGTGGTAGGGTAACCTTAAACTCCCTTCTCCATGAATAAACTGCCAGTAAAACAGAGCACTTGTTTTTCTGGTAGTCAGTAACACAGAAGTGCTAGTTTATAAACTACAAATAATCAGAATTTCTTTGGAACAGAATGTTTTGTGTATATTGACATATACAAGCATATATGAGTGAATCCTATTTATTCATGACTTTACTTTGATATCAGTGGCAAACTGCTTTGAAATCATCCCACATACAGCTGCTGAGAATTCTTACTTCCAAAGCCCAATTTCATCCTGCAGAATATTAGAGAAAAGCCGGCTCCAGAGAGGTGAGGAAGTAAGAAATGCTCTACCTGGTCCTAATATGAAGCCCACTGCTTGGCAGGCACTGGTATTGGCCATGGCACCTGTTCTTTCTGTAAGAGAAGTGGCACCCGCAATGTATGACCGAACCACAGCCACATTTCCTTAAAAAAACAGAAACAAAAAACAAGGAAGCATTCAAGTAAATTCTAAGTTTCATTCTTAAATTCTCCAGTTATATTTTCTTACTTGACAAAAAAATAATACCCGTGTGAATTTGTATATTCATTTACAACTATGCAATTACATGACTTCATAATAAACTAGTTCACACTGACAAACTCTTTACCTGGCTTATTTATAAATTATCATTCACATAATGATAAGTCAGGTACTAAAATATCACATTAATGATATTACGTGAGACACAGCATCTATTAATTTTCGGAAATGTAAGTTCAGCAGTGATTACCTGCTCCAAATCCCACGAGAGCACGTGCAGTAAGCATGTAGTATTTGTTGTGTGAATGAGGTACGTGAACATAGGCATAAAGACAATTAGCAGCTACTGAAATTGCGGTTGAAACGACAAGAGGTTCTCTCCTTGGTCTGTAGTTGGACCATAAACCAAACAGAGGAGAAGCAGCCATTTGGCCAATGCTGTATGAAGCTATAATCCAACCCAAGAAACTCGCATCTGCTGTCGGATCAATCTGCAAAAACAAACAAAGCAACTGTATAGGTAAAGTATTAAAGCTTTTTACAACATAAAAAACCATTTTAGCTTCAATACTTGAAACACCTGACTCTGCACTGTAATTCTGAGTGTATATGCAGTATTACCATGCAGTAACACAGTGTCCAACATGAGCTACCACTGAACATGTTAGCATGTTGGCATGGCACTGTGCAGCATTACATAAACACACTACACTGGGCCTCAAAAGCAGTTGCTTTTGCATAGCACTTTGTATGGGCAATAAAGCTTTGCTAACAGTCTCAGTCAGGGCACCAAACCGACATCAAGTACTTTCCTTCTGAGACTGGAAGTGGCTCATCTGCAAGAAATCCAACTATTTCTCACACAGCACCACCAACGTTACAGGCTACAGACCTAATTAAGCAATAAGGTAGAGTTTACAGGCTAGGAGCAAAGAATTACTTAAGTCACCTCTGCACATGCCTGAATCTGTCTTTGCATTTTCTTTTCTTCTCCCACACAGCACCAGCCTCAATTTTAACAGTATCTCTAACATTCTGCTCAGGATATGTTCTTCCAAATTTGCATCTGGAACAGTCTTCTACAATTGCATAAGTAGTACAATCCTAGCATAATTTAAAATACAATTTTAGAGACCTTTTACATTGCTTTTGACAAGAATGCAACAAAGAAATAAATCAAAACTCTCTCTAGGAACACAAGAAATTTCCCATTACCACTATCGAGGTGTACGTGTAACAATCCGAAACAGAAATAAGAGTTTCTAGATTCAGCTTCCTTTTTATTCAAAATGCAAACAAGCATAACGTACTATGCTTTAACACTACAAATGTATTCAGATCAATAGATTTCAACTGACTCATTGTTCAACAGTGAAATAATATTGGAAAACCAAACATTTTGGGATTATGATGTACCTTCCTCAATTCAATCAACTGATAGATTTTATGGAACAGTATAAGCAATCTGTGGGTGGCAAAATAAAAGTCTCAATAGATCACACATTTCCCCTTGCTGCACCTCTGTGTAACACTACATAATTTCTGAGCAGAAGTTCTGTCCTCTTATTAATTCAAAAACATTAATATTTACAAACCTTTTGGAGATATGGCCATACAGACATAATTACAATTGAGAAACCTGCAATGCAGTAAAAACACAACTGAAGTTACTTTGTTTGCCATGCCTATTAGTAATTCAGTTTACTGAAACAACTACTGTGGGTTCATTCTTCTGCTCCTAAGTCTGCTATGGCTTAAAACTCAGTCTGCCACCTCAAAAAACTATGCGTTATGGGCTTGCTTAAAGAGTAGTAATTCATCTTGAAAAGAAGCCTATTTTTAAAAAGGATGTAATACAGTTGCATACGTGCTAAGCAAAAAGCTCCTATGAAAAGAATACAGATGCACACGCAAACTGCACGGAATTTTTCCTCTCAGTGGAAAGACAACAAGGTCTCTGAGTAAAAAGAATGTCTTGATACACAGATATATTTGTATTAAAGAATTTTTAATACATCAAATGAAACAATAGCAAAAAAAAAAAACCAACCTGTGAAATATCTCATAATCCTCCAGTTTTTTCCTAGGCCCCCAGAAAGTTGCTGGAAGGCAAAAATCAACAGAACTCTCACTTGAAGGGGCAGCTGTTTAGGACTGAAACAGGAACTTTTTCTGCAGTGGAGACGCAAAATTTCTCAAGAGAAAACAAGCTCTGGTGTGTGCTTTGAAATAGATAACACACATTCTCACAAAGATATTATCTCTAAAGAGCTAAGCTTCTACTTTCATTTCCTAAAAGTTTTACTTTGGATTATAAAAGTAACCTCTCCTTGGGTTGTTTCTATGTCACAACCACTACCTTCTACCATCACCCCAGGCTACTACAAACCCAATGAAACAAAGATTTAGATAAAATGTCATTTGTTCTCAGAACACAGCCATATTTATTTTATTAAAAGTAAACTTCTGTTTGATTTGCAAGCCTTATCTTCTTTTTTGAAGGAAAAAAACCCAGAACGCACCTTTTTATGGGCACAAAAGTTAAAGGAGTTAAATGTTAAAGGAGTTAATTAGTTAAATCTGTAATTTTCACATCCAAATGTATCCACTAAGCAAAGAACACTGAAATCCATCCGTGTTTACTCACCTACACTACTGAGAAACATAGTCAGATACATGATCCAGATAGACCTCCACCTGCTCTTGTAATGCTCCTGCGTTTCCACCACATCTCTGGTTTTTGAGGGCAAAAGAGAAAGAAATCACAATCACGTCCTCTCAGGACACTGTGAGCACTTTTCATGCACATGGCACAGGACAGCTGCACAAAGCGCTTTAACTCCCATGCAGCAATGAAATTCTACAGAGAAGAGAACACCACTTTAGAAGCAGGCTCAAAAATACTATATTGAAAGATGTAAAAATTAATAGATGCAGGATAATAAAAATATGATAATACACGTGATCGCATTGTATTATAACGAAGGGGAAACAAAGGAAGAAACAGAAACGTACCACCAGATACCACCCATTCACAAGTGTTGCGCTAGAAGAAGCTCATCGAGAGAGATCCCGAATCAATCTCTGCGTCTGGAGCATCACAGATTTCACATGCACGCTTCAACAACCACGTATGAAGCCACAAAACCCCAGGCACCTCCCAGAGCGGTGACTAAAGCAAACAAACCAAAACCTCGGACCACCCACTGCCTACGCTCGGCGTTGCAGCAAGTCTAGTTTAACTGCTAGCGAAAGGAAAGAACGACAGCTGCTGCCCACACAGCAAGGGCGCCGCGATGGAACGCCGCAGGGCCGGGCTGCCGGGTGAAACCTCACGGCCGTTCGGTCGCCGGAGGCCCGACCCGACCCGGCCCGACCTGCGGGACGGAGGGCCGCGCAGCGCCGCGCCGCGCCGCCGCCGGCAGCCGCCGGCTCCGGGGAGCGATGCCGGCCGCCTGTTGCCGCGGCGCCTTCCGCCCGGCCCGAGCGGCCCGTACCTGTCCTGCCGCTGCCGCGGCTCCCGCTCCTCCTCTCCGGCCCGCAGCAAAGGCTCCCGCCCCTCTGCGGCCGCCATGCCGCGCTCCGGCCGCTTCCGAGCCGCGCGCCGCCGGGATCCTCGGGGATCCGCCTCCCGCCCCTCCCGGCCCGCCGCCAGAGGGCGCGCGCCGCCCCCGCTCCCCAGGGCCCCGGCGGCGGGGCGGGAAGAACCGCCTCACGTCGGGTGTCCGCGGGCGCCTGCGCGCTCCGCCGACCCCGCCTCGCTCCGTCCCTCTCCGCGCGGCGGCGCCCCAACGGCGGCGGGAGGAGCGCGGGCGGCGCCTTCGGGTGAGTGACCTTCGCGGGAAAGGGACGGGCGCGGGGAAGTCGGCGGTTTCCGCGCGGCGGGCGTCCGAGCGAGGGGCTGCGGGGGAGCGCGCGTCCCCGCCGCGCCTCAGGGCGAGCTGCCTCCTCGCCGCGCCGGGAGCCGCTCCCGCTCGGCGGACTTTGAGCCGCCTGGCGGTGGTGGGCGCCTGCGGGCCGCCCTTCGTCGGGCCCCGCGTGTGGGCTGAACGGAGCGGCGCGGGCAGCGGAGCGCGTTTGTTTGTCTTGTGCTGCCCTGCGTCCAGGCTGCTGAGATCCTGTGCGGCTCGTTTGTGGCTCGTCGCCGTGAGGAATTCTTCGTGTGTTGTTCTTGAAGGCGGTTTTCTGCTGCTGGGGGGGAGCGTGATCTCAGTTCAGAGAGATTTTTGTTTGTTTATGAGGTAATGCGGCTGGGAAAAGTTCAGGGCTCGCAGTAAGTCTTTCAGAAATGAATCGAGCCTGTAGTTTTATAGATACAATCTGTCTGGGTTTTCCTGTTGCTTTCTTTGTAAGATAGTGTTTTAAAATGAAAGGATATTTTAGCAGGCCGCTTATTAACGTGTCGGTATCTCTGGTACGATTTCAGTTTCGAAATACAGTTCTCTGCTTACACAGGAAGCTTCACAGCACTGGCTGGCTGCTCAGAACACAGCTGCTGGCTCTTGGCTGCAGAACTGTGCAGCATCTTCCTCAGGTCGTGATTTCCAACTGACCTGACTTTCAAAGGGATCTTGATGCCCCCTCTTTGGAAGCATTCAAGGCCGGGCTGGATGAGGCTGTGAGCAAACTGGTCTATGGGAGGTGTCCCTGCCTGTGGCAGGGGGTTGGGACTGGATGGTCTTAAAGGTCCCTCCCAACCCAAACCATTCTATGATTCTATAATTGTTTCTTGGAGCTTAAATGCTGCAGTAATACATCTTTAGCCACATCGATAGCATTTGCCACTTGTGACAGGAGAGGTATCTGTATTCCTCTTTCCCTGTAGACATCGATGGGGCAGTGGCTGAAGTTTTGTCCCACCAATTGGTTACTGTCATAAACAGATAGGGGATGTCCTATTTTATTTCAGAGGTGTTTCTGAGGAGTTCCGTACGATGTTCTTTGAATTGTTCTTGTAGTGTTTTCTGCACTCTTTCCAGTAGTAGCTTAATCTTGAAGCGTTCTTATTGAAATATCCTGAATTACTTACATGACTCCATTTAATCAATGAAGTAGAATAAAGAATGAGACAACCTGTTCTTCTCAGCCAATGTTCCATTTGTATATAATGTATTTGTCTAGGAACCTTGGCACTCCTTTATTGTAACAGAGCTCATGCCAGCCTCTGAACTCATGGCTAAATCCTGCTCGTCATTTTTTCCTCTCTGGCTTTTATTTTGGAAAGAATTTAAAAATCTCCAGGCTGCTTTGCAAGACTTCAAAGCATTCATTCAAACTTCTTTTACAATTGCTGGTGAGCAGTGTAGTGATGTAACTGCTGTTCTAGGGTTCGCACATCTCACAGATTGTTCTGCATGTATTTACTCAGGCCTGTCCTTCCCAGCCTGCAGGACATTCCCAGGCTGGCTGTCCCTCGCTGCCCCCAATTCTACCCCAGCATCAGTAACATCCCAAGCTGTCTCCCTGCTCTAAACGCCAGAGGTGCCCTGTGGAGGCTGGAGGAGGTGCTGTCTGACATCCCTACAGCACATGGGGTGGGTATCTCCACAGTCATAGACTCATAGAATGGCTTGGATTGGAAGGGATCCCAATGCCAGTATATCATTACAGTATATTGCTAGTCACCTCCAAAGCTGAGCTGTTGCTTCCCATTTTCTATAGTATTTCTGATAGCAGGTTTGCTATGCTTTGGTAGATTCTGCTAAGAGCAAGATGGTGGTCTTTGGGGTCTTTTCCCAGGAAAGCTTGAATTGAAGACTGGGTGGAAACTTTTTTTTTCAGAGAAGAGTACACAAGGTTGTGGGGTGCTAGTTTTCCTTTGGTTTTCTGGTACCAGAAAATATTTACTGTGTGAAAAACAGCAGGAAGACTGGGCAAGGTCTTTATTACTTCATTACAATCAAAAGGTGGCTAGAATTTTAAGAACCAATTTTCAGTGGTTTCTTTGAGTTGAGAAGAAGGTAGATGTATACAGATCTCTTTGTAAAAATCTTGATTTTGGTAGCATGTCTATGGTGGAAGATTAGTCTCTGTCTTTCCCCTCCTATCTGTTTTGATACAAAATATATCACTCGAGGTTGATACCAGCTACCAGCACTTGTGTTGTTGTATTTATGTTTTTTATGTTGGTTCATAGCTTGTATTGCATAACTTAATATTGTTTGGGAATTTCTTGTGTGTGTGTATTTCAATACCAAAGTAATTTATTCTTCTAGAGCAGGCAGATGTGAATCAGCAATTTGAGATAGGCTGGCGGAGTAACACCTGATGCTTTCTGCAGTGTTCAAATGAAAGTTTCTGGTGATAGCATGTTTTTATTTCTGTCATATAATGACTGAATGTTGTTTTACGGGTTGTTTGTTTTAGCACTAAAGTAGCCTATTCTATTTTGTTATTAACTTTTGATAAGCATTAAAGCTTTTTTTGCTTAATTTTTTGGTATCTTGAGTCTTAATGATGTATTAAGTATTGATTATTTGTTTTTAGAAGAGCAAAGGGATGTATTAATCTAACAACACTTCCAACTTGTTACATTCAGACAAGTTCAGAATGACCGTATTAAAATACAGTTGAATAAATTTAATTGGAATTAGCATGAGAAGCATGAATGAAATCACACTTTTTTGGGGTATTATGAAGTTATTTAGGCCTTTTACTATAGAGGCATCTGGAAAAATTAGAAGGTAGATGAAGGCAACTTATTAACCAAGTCTTTGATTATTATATTTTTTTGTTGTCTTAGGTGTAGGGCAGACTGTGGACCTCATTTCCATTGAATAACCCGTATCCTGTTGATCAAGAAACCAGATTGTTCTTGTTTGTTTGTTTTCCTTCCTTATTGGAAGAGCACAGTAGTGGCTCCAAGCTCACTTCAGTAAGTATTGCTTTGAAAGTAAGACAGAGTTGGCCTAAAGCCTTGTTGGCTTTAATTGTATTTGAGCTAATGCATTTCCTGCGTAAAAAATGATACTGGTGGAAGGATTCTGATGGTGTGGTTTCTTTTTTTTTTTATTGTTTTGTTCTCTGAAGGTAGCGAGAGCTTTGTTTTCGAAATTGTAAGAAATGAGTGGGGGAAAATTGGAAAGGAAGGGATAAAGGACGAGGTTTCCATTCTGAAATGCACTGATGGAAACTCATTTAGATTGAAAAATATTTACCATTATGACTATATTGACAGAGGATAGAGATCAGTGCTGCTCTTCTTATTGGTCTAAGTAATATACACTTAGAACAGGCTGGAGATGTAATACTATGACCTCATGTGCTTCTTCTGTAACCTTTTCATTGATGATGTGATAACTTTCTGGTTTTTTAGGTGTGTCAAATTCCTACTGCTACATTCCACTTTTTTTCTTTTTTTAAAGCAAAGGCAGAATTTGTGTTAACTGCCTTTATGCTTTGTTTAAAAGGCAAAGAATTGACCTAAGCATCAAGGTTAACTTCCTTGTAGTAGAGTGGTATGGCTTTTCATTGGAACAGGTGCCAGAAATAGAACCAACTTAGAATAATAAGCAATGAACTTGCCCCTCAAGTTAACCCCTTTAACTGCCTTGTTTTTACCTGTTCTTTTTTCTAGATGTCAGTTTGCTGCTAATGGGTGTAAGTAAATTAGATGTCTTGTACAGAAAGCTTCTCCTCACTAAACTCTTCATCAGAGGATGGGGAAAGCCAGAGGATCTGAAGAGGTGACTTGTTTAAAAAAATAATAACAGCACAATATGTCCTTTATATTAAAAGGAAACAAAACAAAATGTTGATGCTCTTCTGTATTCTTTTTTAAAAAGTTACGCTGAAATTTGCTTTGGTCAGGATATCTTGTATTTCCATACTGAGGCAGTAACTGGATTTAGAAGTCTTAAAGGGATCTCTTAAATGTTTTTCTGTTTAAAGAGGATTTTCTTCAGAGAATGTGTGTGTCCAATCATATTTTTCACTTATAAATATAAAACAACCCATGTTAAGTAGTAGCTCTCAAAAGTCTAGACCAAGAAGAAAACCAGCTAATTCTTTTCCAGAGGAACTGTTCTGTTTAACACGAAGGTGGTCTCGCTAACTTTCTGTAACTGCTGAATAAAAATGCGTTTTAGAAAGGTAAGGTGCGTTCAGCAATGTTTCTCATCCCCAAAGCAATAAACTCATTTTTTAAGAGGAGATCTTATCAGTGATTAGAAGTATCTGAAGGGCAGTTGTCAAGACCATGAGGCTGGGCACTTTTAGGTGGTGCCTAGCGACAGGCAAGGGGCAGTGGGGTGATCTGGAACGCAGGGAGTTCCATCTCAATATGAGAAAAAAGCAGCTTTTTTTTTTTTTTTTTTGAGAGTGACAAAGCACTGGATCAGGCTGTCCATCTCCTTCTTTGGAGATATTCAAGACCCATCTGGAAGCTTTTATGTGTAACCCAATGTAGAGACCCTGCTTTAGCAGAGGGTTGGGCTTGATGATCTCCAGAGGTCCCTTCCAACCCCAGTGATGCTGTGATTCTTTTTTGGTGTTTTTAAAATAAGAGAATTACTGTTTAATTTTTAAACGTTTGCAGTTTTTTTCAAATTGTGAGTAACATTTGAAAACAGTTGCGTATCTTAATCGTTATTTTTGTTTTGACCTTTAAGTGACTGAATATATTCTGTATCATGTAGTATACCAATAGGAAATGATAAATCTCTATTGCATAAGCTAATTTGTATGTGTTTGAAAATCAATGAAGAAAACTTGTAGCAGAAGCTTTGTTTGCTGTGGAGAGTGATGGAGTCATGCAGGCTGTTTGTTTTTTAAATCTCGTACCTTAATTGATTTATCTCAAGTAGCAAAATGAAAATGTTGAATTTTTAAAACATTAATGCAGTTTACTTCTGTTAGAATAAGCAAAAATGTGTACTTCACTTGGTTGTGACTGTGGCATTTCTATATTGTATGTTGTGCATGTTTATCTGAAATAGGATGTTTATCAAACCCTTTCCATGAAAACTTTTAGGTTGGAGGACTTAACTGTGTTTCACTAACCCTTCTCCCCATCATTTCCCCCCACTTACTGTGTGGAGTAACTTCTGACTAATTCTGCTGTTAGCAGTAAAGGGTCTGTAATGTAATGTCAAACAGAAATGATGGCATCAGCTACAGCTCCTCCTTTTAATGAGCTGGAGGAATTGCATGAAATCCAAAGCTGTAAACAGTACAAGGGACAGAATCGCTGGCCTGCTGATCTGAAAAGAGGAACTTTTTCTACATGCTACCCCTGGCTGGAAAGATGAGCTGTTCCCTGGCAGCTTGGCTTCACCCAGATGAAGGAAGAAAGAACACTGCCTCTTCACACCAGCCAGTGGGAGGAGGAGTACACTCCCTAGCATGCTGATCATGCTGGAAATAGTGATAGTGTGTGTTTGTTTTCACTATGAAAACCCATTAGAACAATTTATGAGATTTCTTAGCATTAACTAAGATTGACTGATGTCACTGACTGTCTTACTTGGATGTAATCTGAAGATTTACTGAGCACATCCTTGATGTGATGACCTGTATCCCAATTCTTTATCCTCAGCTCATTAACAAGGGTTAAAATTTCTGAACATGTAAAAGGTTTTTCTTTCAATAGGTTTAGTATTCTCCAGGCCACAGAGGAAATATGTACGTGTATTTTTTGTAGGATTAGCATCAAGCAGAACATCTTTGCATTTAGTTCATCCTCCATACTCATGTCTCATACCTATACTCTTACTCTTAGAAATATTTAGTGTTATGTTCTGCGTAAGAAAAGCAGGGTATGCAGTACAGCTGTTCTTGTGGTGATAAACTGCTTTGTATGGTGGCTTTCTTTGCTTTAAGGAAGGTGAATAGGTTGTTCCTGTTGTACCATTCTTCTGTACTGGCCATCCAAATGTGCTGTTTTATTTCGATCAGGTGATATCTTTGCATGTGTTTAGAGACAAAAGAACTTACTAGTGACTCCTAGCACAGAGTAGTTAATGTTATGAGACATGTATTGAGGGCATCTTGTCTCAACCCCCGCTCAAAACCAAGCTAGCCTTGTAATTCTTTCAAGTCAGACAGCACCTCCTGGTGTTGAGTTTGAAGTCCCTTGAAGATAGAGATTTCAGTTGCCCTGGGTATTAGGTTATCAAGTGCTTAAACGCTACCGTTGTGAAAAAATATTTCATTGGCAATTTCTAACATTGCAACTCACAACCACTGTTTCTTGCCCTCTCACTGTCTACCACTGTGCTAAGTTTTGTTTCATCTTCTATGAGACTTTGTAGCCCTTTTAAGCAGCAGAAGAAAACAGCTGGATTTGCCCTTAAGCCTTCCCTTCCCCAGGCAACATGTACTCAGTTTCTTCAGTCTTTTTTTCGTACATTATGTGCTCGAGTTATTCTAGCAGCACTCTTCTCCACTCTGAAATATGTCAGCACGTCTTAAGAACAGTGGTCCCAGAACTGGGCTGAGTATTCCAGATGTGACTTCATGAGTGCTGAGTAGAGGGTGGTCTCTTCCTTTCACTCTCTGTCTGCCTTTTTGCTGAATGCTGAGGTGATACCAGTGGTCTGCAGAGCTGCAAGGCCATGCTGCAAACTCATGTTTGCCAGAAGCTCAATGCCTTTTCCTGCAGAGTTGCTGTCTGGCTGGGTGGTTCCTAGCTTATATTGTTGCACAGGTCTAGGTGCAAGACTTGGCAGTTGGATTGTTGAGCTTTAGGGTGTTTGCTGACTTGTTCTTCCAGCTTACCCAGGTGGCTTTGAAAGGTATCCAGCTATCAATCTCACACTCCAGATTGTGTCATTTGTGAAATTCACTGAATATGGCTTGTGACTTGAGTCAGTTACACTTTGAGCCACTGACAGTTTGATGTTAGCAGTTTTACCTTTTCTCCATTCTGCCTGTATCTCCCCAGTATGTCTCCAAGGATATGTAAGAGCAGGGGGTTCCTATGACTTAATTTAGCTCTGAAAAATGGCAGTAGTTTTTTACATATCAAGCTTAGAATACTATTTAAAAACTGTGTAAGCTGTAGCAATATTCTTTTTCCTTCTTTTTTCTTCTTTTTAACTTAAAAATGTTCTTACAGACCTATGCCATCATAATCTGACTGATCTGTAAATGCAGTTTAATATATATAGTTAGACTGGAAGTTGAATCTTTTCTTTACTTGTTTCTTTTCAACAGAATATTTGAATTCAGAAAGATTATTGGAAACAGGGAAAAATGCCAGACACTGGTTTCAAAAGATTACCCAGTTTTTATTGACAAGGTATGTAAATGCAAGGAATACAGTTTAACTAAATTTATTTGCCTAATGGTATATAAACATGAAATAAATTTAGTCCTTTCCGGTCTGATTTTAAAGACTAGAAGTATTGAATTTTGATACATATGAATCTGTATTTTCCTGATGTTATTACAGGATGTTCTGCTGCTGGGACTGGCAACTGAGAACTTGATTTAGGGATTATGTGTATGTAGGAGACTGGGTGGTCATATTTGTTATAAATATAATTAAAGTAAGCTGGAAGTAGTGGTTGTACAGATACGTTTACATTTTTTTTTCTCATCAGTCAATAACTGGGAGTGGGGAGCATCAGATTTTAATTGCTGAAGCTCAAAAAAGGCTCAAAACATGGTATATATTATTGAAGTATATGCTACTAGAGCAGCACAGCTTAAGCTCATTACTTGGTTCTTTAATAGGTCATTTATAAGGAAAAATGAAAATATTTGGCTGTTGATAGATATGTATCATTCCCTCTGCAGGTTGAGGAACAATCAGACTGTAAAATCCTTGAGGGGCACTTCATTTCCCCTTTAGCTCATTATGTTCCGGGTATCCTGCCTGTTGAGTCCCTTGTAGCCAGGTAGGAGAAATCAAGTGGTATTTCCTTTCTGAAGCTACTACTGGAGAGAAATGAAAATGATACATCAGTAGTTTTACCATGAAGCCAATATATCACTACACTGATTACCTGCAAAATAAACTGCCTTTTTTTTTTCCAGCTAACATGTTGGAATATGTTTTGACCTTAAAGTTTCAAATAATCTTATTTGTGTGATAGTTTTAATCTGTGTGGATAACATACTTTGATAGGATGCTTTATTGTAAAGTGTAGAGTCAAATTTGAGAAAGATTGATTATGTTCTGAAGCCAGGAAAAAAATGAGCGTTACAAGAGATGAAAGTTTCGCTGTAATTATGTGAGTATTTATCTATAACTGGAGGAGAGCTTCTGTTATTATTAGAAATAACGTGGAAAACTCTTAAGTCTAATCTTAGCTGATAGTGGATGACGTAACTCTTTATGAAACACTTAAGCTACAGTGAGAAAAGTTAAAACCTAGGATTACTTGACTCTGCTAGTCACAGGCTTAGATTCTGAAGTCTTGTGGGATTGGTTGGTTTGTTTGTTTTTGAGTGCTGAAATCATACTGCCCTTAACTACGGAATGTTTGTTTTCCAAACAAAGATGATGCTAGAAATCAAGCATTGGACAGAAGCTGTTTGTTTCATACAGAACAAGAGAAACTATTTATATAAAAGAAACTCCTTACATTGTATTTGAAGGAACCATTCAAATTCCGTTAAAAAAAAATACTGTCTATGTACAGATATAAGTGAATGTAATTGCAGCAAGAGAATCTGTCACTCTTTGAAAGCTTAATGATCTAAAATAGTCAAGATATTAGATTGCATTTTTGCTATTTTGACACTAAAACTGCTTTGAAGTTGAGAAAAGGTGAGTTTAGGTCAAAACTAAAAGCAAACAATTTCATCGCAGTTGTTTTTTTTTTTTTTTTTTCCCCAAGCTTTGTTTACTATCTTAAAGGCTGAACATACAAGTTCAAGCATCCCTAATTAGTACCATAACTGAAAATCTAGTATACTGCCTGTTTTCTTATGTGTTCCTTTGCACTGTGAGGTTATTTTATGCTGTTGCATTGGGCAATACTGTTAGAGTTTTGAAACTTCCCTTAAAATCTTGCATCGCTTTTTTATTGTTGTTTGTTTGTTGTTGTTTTTTTCCTGAATGTAATTCAGTTGTGGGTTTGTGCTCCATCTTGTGGAGAAAATATTAGTGCCTTAGAAACAATGTTTTTTTTTCTCCCAATAGCTTTACTGTAACTAACTACTGTAACTGTAACTACTGCTGCTAACAGTAGCAGCAGAAGGCATTAAATGTTGGTGTATAAAACTGTTTCGTGTTTGTGGGTTTATTAAACTATTTATATTTCATTTTAATGTAAACGTTTTGCTCATCCTATTCTTCAGTTTCAGCTGTTGTGCCCTCAGGAGAGAAATAGCAATATTGTCTAGGAGAGCTAGGCATTCTTGTTCAGGCAGCTCTTCATCTGCAATTCCACTTCTCCAATGTGCACAATTTGAATGGTGATGATGAGGTAGTGGTCTGTTTTAGGAGCATGATCTTTCTGCTTGACTCCTTTTGGTGTCTGGAATTTACGCTGTCATACTCTTGGATTTCTTTCTTTGCTGGATGTGTTTATGAAAAATGATATTGCTTTATCAACAATTTGCTGTCACAGTGTGTTGGTTTTTGTTTGTTTTTTAAACTTACTTATATGAAGCAACAGATACTCTTACTTTAATGTTTGTTTCTCATAGGTTTCAGTTCATAACACCCAGAAGATGGAACAGCAAGCACAGACCTGTATGCATTCATTTAGCAGGCACTGGGGATCACGTAAGTAAAATGTGAAATGAATTAGTGAGAAAATAAATATTTGGATTTGATCTTATTATGATTATGCATCTTATTTTTAGCACTTCTGGAGGAGACGCACATTAATGGCTCGTCCAATGATAAAAGAAGCCTGTATGGCTTCCCTATTGCTTGAAAATCCCTATTATATCCTTTTGTGGAAAATAGGATTCTTAGGCAGTTTTCAGTGTTTTCTCCACAAGGTAGGAACCCACAGAATGGGACATGAGGTGGAACACAGTATAATATGCTACTGTTACACATTCTGATTTTTCTGAAAACATCTTCTGCAACTCCTTAGAACAGTCATCAGAGTAGAAGTTCTGGTGTTAATCTGTTTTCACATTCATCATCAAGGTTACTAATATGATTGATCAGTGTAGTCATGGCAGAATGAAAACTGCATTCATTCTACATCATACTGCATGACTTCTGGACATATTAATGATGAAAAACAATGTTATTTCCTTTGATTTCCTGTTTCAAATGCTTTTGAGAAACTTAATCTTGGCATTTAAGATCTGTTTTAGATTAAATAAGTTTTCATCAACTCATCAGCAACTTCTGTAACAATGTTACCTCATTTCATTAAATAGAATCTCAGGTTATGCTTTCTTTATACCCCCATACCTGATAGAAATAAAACCTTATGTTATAAATTACATAATCAAATTGTATTTAATGTGATTTACTTTCAGTTAAATATTTGGAATTTAAGTTCCAAATTTTAATTAATCGGTGTGCAATTTGTGTATGTGATTTATTTTTTATTTTAATCGCCAATTTTTATGTAGATAATTCTGACTTTCTTTAACTTGAGACTTCTACATGGCTGCAGAAAACCTAAGGATCAAATGTAAGTATTGCAAGATGCAATCTTTTCAAAATACAACTTGTTTTTTTCCCTCAGGAAGCTCAAATGAATATAAACTTTGTGAACTTACTGAGAAAAATAAAATCCCAAACATCCCGTTAACATAAAATCATCAAGCCTTTGCTGGGCTACTTTACTTCTGTTTGTTAAGAGATCACTGTGATTGGGAAAGTTTGCATAAGATGGCCTTGCGGTGTAAGAATGAGATGAGTGTGAATGCAAGCAACAGTTTGTTTTCCTGATCAACTACTGTGTCTGCATGCTGCAATTATTTCAGTCAAATATGAGTTATCTTTGTTCAGATAGCTTATCTTGTTATTTTTGTAGCTCAGTTTTACCTTTTTCTAGATATTTCAAAAGGATCACAGTAAGACACAAAGAATATTGATGTTGCTTGTTTGTTAGCCTGTTCAAAGTATGCAAAATTCAGTATTGAGGAAGTTTTAATTCCAGAAATGGTTTCTAAGTTTATTTTCAAATCAGGTGCAGAACTTTATTTTGACATAAGAACTGCTATTTAAAAGGTAAAAACCAAATGAAAACACAAAATTGCCAGCTGATTGTTATAAAACTACTTTTCTAATAGGAAAAACACTTAGTTTAAAAAAAAATTATTGCATTTAGAAGTATAAGATTATAGGAAAGGGATGAGAGTGTGTGTGCTGGAATAGGTCAAGCTTTGTTTTTGTTTTTTTCCTTGTAGTTAAGTAATTGATGCAGAAAAGTAATTTGGTGAGGATATTTCTAACTCCTTTTTCTATCATCCTAGCTTGACAGCTTAGTATATGAATGATGTAGACAAGGATTCTCTGAAAGGCAAGTGCCCCAAGCAATAACTGTCAATCTTCGATACAAGCTTACAAAGCAGCAGCAGTGTTTTTAGTTAACGCAGTAGTAACAGTGCTTAGTAAATACAGCAGCTATGGAGGATTGATGAATCTTTCATAACCAAGCTGTCAGAAAGAATTACGTTAGCTGGTTTGCAGCAACTGCATTCATTTCTCCTGTGACTAGCACAGTGTATTTCTACGTATTTAGAGGTATGTTAATTGCTCTGTAAAATACTTTCGCTTTTTGAGAGTTCCTCTGATGGTTCAGCTGAATAGCTTTCTCCTTTTTTGCTTACTCTGTTTTGATGCTTTAGAGTACACCACATGAATTCCTCAGTACCGTGACAAACTTCCCACTTTACAATTTCATTCTTACAATGACACTGCTGAGTTCTTCCAAAGCTGGCATACTGATTGCTCTTCAAATGTTGTGTGCAATTTTTCAGTGATGTGAAACAGGTAAATAAGAGGAGGAAAAGGAAAAAAAAAAAGGATTTTTTTCTGCATTTGAGATAGTATATGTCTGGGATTGAACTGCTCTGATTCTATTTCTAAAATACCCATTATAACTTGACAGCACAGAAGATTACTGCTAATGAGATTCTAATGTTGCTAATACTTGTTTCTAAACGACCAGGTGGTGAGTGATGTTAGAAGCTTAGCAGGTGTCTATTCCTAGTCCTTGTTTAGAAAAATTGCCAGAGAATCTGGACTTGCTTCTTCTGTTGAATCAACAGGAGTTGAGATCCAAAATTCTCTGGGAATGTGGTGAGGCTTTCTATGAAAGTATGTATAGAGTGATGACAGTTGTCAAAATCTAATCTTAGATAAATCCTGTCTTTTCCTTTTCTGGGGAGAAAAGACGGTCATGTTTAAAAAATGTCTCGGACCTGTTTGTGATGGGAGGAGCTCTTGTTCTAGAATCGGCAGCTCTTTTGCACTGGCTAGAGAGAGAAGGCTATGGACCGCTAGGGATGACTGGAATATCCATGGGAGGACATGTAAGCTTTTATATTTCCTGTTTAGTAATCTTTTTTAACTTCTCATTTGATCTTTTAGCACATGGAAATAATTTGTTTTACAGTGTTCCTCTCTGAAGTACTTTAAAATAAACATTGAGAGTCATGAGAAAAATTGTCAGCAATTCTCATGCTCAATAGTCCTGAATTAGTATAATCCTTGATTAAAAACTACAAATCATAGCAACCTTCGTCAGCCATCTCCTCAGAGGCTTTATGAATATCTTCTCACATACTTGTTTTTTTTTCCCAATGGGGAAAAAATCTTTTTTGAAAGAAGATCTATATTGATCAATTGCTTGTTTAACCTCCTTTCCTCCATTATTTTTAAAGTTGTTTTTGAATGCATTGAGTGAAATGCATTCTCTCTACAGAGATACCATAACTTTTGTGACTTCTGGTGTTGGGTCTGTTCTCAACTGTTTTCCTCATCTTTGATATTGATTAGAGAGGATTTCTGGAGTGTGGTGTGACTGTGCATATTCCAACTCAAACAGCAGTATTCATTGTAAGATGCTTGAAATCCTAATGCACAGTATTATTCTTGTCTGCACGGATGCATGTTGCTCTGAGATACATGTATAAAAAGCCTATTAAAACAGCATACCTCCATTTTGCTGATCCTTTTCTGTTTATTTCTTGTCAAGAACTGAGTAGATAATTTTAATGAGAGTGTCTACTGAAAGAAAAATAATTTTCCTCCAAAGCACAATTTTACAACTCTAAATGTCATACTTGTTTAAAATACCTTACATTCACATAAATATCATCCTGATGAGACAACTTCTGTGTTAAATGTATCTCCCCTGCCTTATTTATAAGCTGGATTGTAATTATTAAACTGATGTGTCGTCTGCTATCTGCAGGCTACTTCGTAAGCTTCTACGTGAATACTGTAGGATTGACAGAGTGCTGTATCCCATACCAGTTGTCATATGCAGCATGAGTATAGCAAGAGGCAAGATCAGAGAAAGTAAACTTGGAAACTCTTTTGGAATATTTTTCATTAGTGCAGAAGCATACATTTTTGACTCATCCTAATGAATCTAAAACAGTCTTTAGAAAGTATTCTGTAACTGAAAGTAAGTAGCATTAATTCAGTTCTAATGATGGAGAGAGCTGGAACTAACGACAAAGACATCTGGCTTTCTGACTATTGTAACATATCTATGTGATGCTTCTGTCCCTTTTTATTATTAAAAATAATTTGAATAAAATTATAATTCCGTTGTATAAGTCTACTTACTAGAATGTCTAGGACAAACATGGGATATTTTGTAGGAGGGATTTTACACTGTTAGTACGTTGAGCTTTTTTCTGATATTTCTGATGTGATCAGAATAGTTACCAAAATATGTCCTGATTTAAAAACAATAAATTAGATTTTGAAGGGCAGGAAAACAGTCCTCTTAACATACTGACTTCTCATCTATGTTTTGTTTCTAGAATACAAATTCAAAATTGTGAAATTTTAAATAGTTCTTCTTATAGATTGCTTTATTTTTGCCTCAAAATAAGCTTGCAAGAGCTTGATGACAAAGCTGCATGAAGTTTGTCATTGTTTGAAATAACTGTAAACAAATATCCCATCCAGAATTCTTGTAGTTATAACCCTGTTCATCTGTGAAATTGATCCTGTCCGCAACAATATTTGTTACTGTGGAAATCACTCAAGAGCAGACTGAACCTTCTGAATTCTAAAGAGGTGGAAGGATATCCAATTACCACAGTCCTTAAGTGCTTTGGTACTTCTTATTTAATGCTGTATAAACAAATAAATTGGAGATGAGAGAGTTCTTAAAATACCATCAAAAATATTATGAATTGAGCGTTAAAATATATAATAACTGTGTTTGATTCTAGATGGCTTCCCTGGCAGTGACGAATTGGCCTAAACCATTGCCATTGATTCCGTGTCTTTCGTGGTCAACAGCTTCTGCAGTCTTTACTACGGTAATTGCCCAATATTTTTATATTAATATAGTGAAATGTGATTAGATAGATGAGGTAAAATGTTTGGGCTGGCTACATTCACCTTTGCAGTTAAGCATTTCATTGCCTTCTGGCCTTTATTAGTAACTAGTGGCAAAAAGCTTAGGATATACAAAATGATGAGAAGATAGCTTTGAGCTACTTCACTGAGTCATGTCCTAAATGAAGGGCAAGGGCTGATTTGTGACACAGTGATTGGAGTCCTTTTCTGAATGTGGAAGGGTGAGGAAGGAAACTGAAAATATGCTTTTACTGGTCAAAGCCTGGCTTAAATAGCTGGATGATAATATAGTAACTGTTTTTGCTACTTCGGCTGGGTAAGTGATTTAATAGACAGACATTCATAGTCATCTCTGATTTAGTTCAGTCTAAATGTGTGTTTTATTATTTTTATTTTTATTTCTTTAAGGTGAAATGTATTTCCATGTCCTGTGTGTTTGCTTACGATGCGTGCTTAAAAGCTTCCAATAATTCTAAGGGTTGTCTGGAAACTTAAGCCAGAACTGCACTGGAAAAATCAAATCCCGGGAACAAATCAATTTTGTCTGCATGTCATTATTTTAGAAAAGTCTTTGGCTTTTGCTTGTACTAGACACTTGTGTTTATAACTTCAGGGTGTGCTGAGTAAGGCAGTGAACTGGAGGGAGCTTGAGAAACAATATTATACACAAACTGTTTACGAAGAAGAAATCATTCAAATGCTTGAATACTGTGGAGTAAGTATAGTTTATTTTCACTATTTGCAAACGTTTGCATATGTCTAATATTTTAGTTGAAAAATACATGTTAAGTATAGCCCTTAATAAAGAGTTAATGCAATCCACAATGCTAAATGTATTCAGTCAAAATGTGGAAAATACAGATAATTCATCCCAGTAAATGGCTTTGTAATCAGGAAAGCTGGTAGCCTGAAACATCTAATGATTAATTTTTGTCCTTTGAATTTGGAATTGCTTCCAAATACTCAATTTGAATAGATTAAGCAGGGGAAAAAAGAAAGAAAGGAAGACACATTACAGGAAGCTCAGCTTATGACATCCTATTATTTGGAGGAAGTAAATTTGTAGATTTTTTAGGTTTTTCTAAACCGAACATCAAATCTAGTCAAATATATTTCTTACTATTGCCTATTTTCCTTTCCATCTGTTGTTTACTTTTGGCTACTTTTTTAAAAAGACAGTACTACTATTTTGAGAGACACAAATCTGAGAAAAGCATTGCTTTTATGATCTATTTGCTCAGAAATGCAAGCTTGCTGAACTGCAGTCATGAATTCAAGATTTAATGCAGAATTTAAAAAAGACAAACGTTTGCATCGTGTATTACTGTACATAAGTACTTTCTTGAGCTGACAAATGTAGAATTAAAATATCAAAAGACTATTGGGATTTAATTCACTGTGTGACATGTAGACTGAAAATAGCAAGTACTGCAAGCAGTGCTCTTTGCCTTCTTTTTACTGAATATTGTGTTGATCTGAAGAGTAACATTAACTAGCTGAGGTAAACGAGTCCCTTAATAAATGACTTGTCTTTGTTTAGACAGATTCTTTCAAGATGGGACAAGATTTTGTTAAAAACTTTCCTGACAATGTGGATAGTCTGGAGGACATAGATGTGGCTTCCAGAATGTTCAGCTTTGATTCATCAAACAAGACTGAGTCTAAAGAAGCTGTCCACAGCTTTACCGCAAGTAGAAGTCCTCTAAGTGCCTCATCAGAAAGACTCCTAATGCAAGATGCTCCTAAAATTCAGTGCTTCAATCAAACATTTTCAACCACTAGCAATAAAAACTTAACCATGCAACAGGGACACAGGATAAATAATAGAGCAAAGAGTGACACTTTACAGAGAGAATCATTAAGGTTCATGAAAGGAGTAATGGATGAATGTACTCATGTAGCTAACTTCTCAGGTATGTATTCATTTGTTTCAACGTGGAGCTGGGAAAACTAAATTAGAATACTATACAAGGAAAGGTATTCTCTAACTGGGCAAACCTGCTGTCACTTTAAGATGGAATACAAAAGCATTGAGTGTTGTTTCTGTAAAATCTATTTAACACTCAATTTCCTGGTGATTGGTTTGTTTCTTAACGACCAACTGATGATCGAGTCAGTTGAAAATGTGCCTTTCTGTATCTGTGCACATTTTTTCTGTGCTGTGCTGTGGCTATTTTCAGATATGAGATAGTGCACATACATATTAATTAAAAGAGCAAAGTGTCTGTATGATATGATTAATATCTAGATCTAATTAATCTGCTGTGTCCTGCTAGTAAGATTTTTCAAAATTAAATCTAATTGGGCAGAAACCTATTATTGACTTCAGGCAGAAAGTAGCCTACATAGTTGAGAGCTAAACTTGAATGATCCTTAAGACAAATGAGACCAGTAAGAATAAACTCTGGTCCTTCTGGGATGGTGCAGTTTGGTGAATATAACATTTCTCAATACAAGCACTACATACAGAGGGAATTGTAGCCCAGTGAGTCTTAAATTTGATGAAGCTGAATTTCTTGGTGTCTAGAAAAAATGACTTTTAATGGTCTGCTTGCAGGCAGTGCAAACAAGTGATTTCTTCCTAGTACTGATTGAGGGAGTTCAATTGAGATGAAGATTTGGAATGGCTTTTGTAGACAGTCTGTTAAGACGAAATGGTTTTACTGTGCATATACCGAGTACTCAAACATGTCCCAGAAAGTGCTTCAATTTCTGACAGGTTTCTAACAAAGTTATCTTGATTCGAGACCCTGTGCCACCTCAGTTTTGTAATTCTGGCATTCAGTGCCCCTCTGCCAAATGCAAATAGTTAAAAAAATATTTGTATATATATATATTTATACTCTAAAATACATACCTTAACATGGAAAATGTCCCAAATCACAGCTATGTTTTGTGACACAGCACTGGAATTTTTTCTCTAAAACTTCAGAAACTATTTCTGTAGAAAAAAAAAAAAAAAAGAAAAGAAAAGAAAAAAAAAAAAAGAAAATTAAAAACTTTATTCTAATTACAAATGTTCTTTTATATCTAATCACTTATCCAGGTATCACTTAGCTAAAGCACTGACCTTTCTTGAAACTTAAGAGGATGTGTGATCTCATTGAGCTTGTTAAGGTGATGCAGTCCTTTGTCCCAATTGTCTCTCAGGTCTCTTGATGCTCTGGGAGATACTGCATCCCTTGCCAGGGAATGCTTGATGTGTATCTGTAGAGGAGATCCGGAAATCCACCTAATGTTCAGATTTCATGGAAAATGGAAGGAAAAGATGGAATCTACCTTAACACCGTATATTTTCTATTCATGATTTACTATATATGAAAGGAAAGGGTCTAAAGTTTTTGTGACCCTCCACTTGCAAATGCCTTAGTTCGTCACTATCTGCCATATCACGTGTATTTTTCTGAAGAGAGTGGTGGTCTGTGCTCTACTTCTGCGTTATTTTTCTAAACAGCATTTTATTTTATTCCAGTTGATAATCAGACTGGTGCAATTGTGGTGATAAGTAATAAGTCTATACAACAATATATTAGGATATTCATGCTACAGACAAAAGAAAAAAGAAGTAGGAAATAGAAAAGAAAGTGAACATGCTGCACTTGGTGTCTGACTTCTAGTATCAAAAGTTCCCCCCCCTCTCTGAGGGAAAAATAATACAAAGCTTCTACTCTATTGAATTTCAAATATTTTCTAGTTCTTTTCCCTGGGTGAGGAGGGTAGCTCTCTTAGAACTGACCTGCATGCTATAGAGTTTTGTCATTAAGGAGAAAGTAGTAGAAAATTGTCTGTAGCATCAAAAATTAGACATTGCTGGAGACATTAAAAAATATAATTTGACTAAAGATTTCTTGTATTTCTTTAGTAATTGGGAGCACATTGTAGCAGAAATCTTCAGCTAAAGTATTTCTATCATTTTCTAATTTTAGATTAATTCAATTTTGAGTTGTTTTTCTTTAGTTCCAGTTGACCCCAGTTTAATCATAGTTGTGCAAGCTAAGGAGGATGCGTATATTCCTCGAACTGGAGTGCGCAGTCTTCAAGAAATCTGGCCCGGATGTGAAATCAGGTATCTGAATGGAGGTCATGTCAGTGCCTACCTCTTCAAACAAGGACTCTTTAGGTAAGGTGGACAGGAAATCATAAAAATAATAGAGAGCTTAAAACCATACTTTTGTGATATCACTTTCCTTCTAACAAATGAGTCTATAATTAAAGCAGCAAATACAAAGTACTGCTTGTGAGATCAAATTATTGGATCTTAGAGAATGTCACCATTCTATTCAGTGAGTGAGGATGATATGTAATGTATCTCAAGTCATTCAGTAAGCCTTTGACAGTAGGGTCATCATTATCGCTCTTGCTTTCCTATAGTTCTTCGTTTGTTTCCTGGACACCAGAAAATACTTTCTGAGCAGTGACCTCTTACATAGTGTTGCACAGCTGTTGCCTTTTTGCAGGTATTGTGTTCTGTGAGTAAATAGTTGAAGACCAGAATTAAAAGATAAGCTTTATTGCAGATGAGTGGTACTTGCACGAAGTCTTGCCTTAATAGTACTTTGACTCATGTTGACTTTTTAGTTACATAAATCAGTTATAAAATTGCATTTATATACCTGCAGTTCCTAGTTTTTAAAAGGTAAATACTTGTGGTGCTGATTTTTAAAATATAAGAAATTAGCAACTGACTGTATATCCCGTTTAGGAAGTCTAGGCAACATCAGAAAGGAATAGCAGTATATCAGGTTGACGTACGTGAACTCCCAGCTTACTGCTATTTTAAAACATCACCCTCAAAAATAATTTATATTGCGTGTCTGACATACATCCTGACACGTTTGAATGCAAAAGTCCTCATCAATTAAAACTTGCATTCCTGTGAAAGGTGGTAAGTAGTCTAGTTAACTTTTGAAACATATTACTAGATTGAAGTGAGATATAAATGAAGGAAAAAAATGCCATATTTTTACTGAATGCTATTTTCAGGTTGTGATGATATGCTTAATTTTGAAATAAATGGAAATTAGCAATGTTGTCGATCCTTTCCTAAATTATACAAGTGATCTACAATTAACTTGTTTCTTCCCGTTTTAGGAAAGCAATTTATGATGCGTTTGACCGCTTTCTTCAGAAATATGCTGTTTAACAATCTTCATCATGGATTCAAACTGATCTCTTTTCATTTCCCATTATTGGAACTCATCTTTGGAAAACAAACTTCTTGCAGTGTTAAGTAGTTGATGCTCAATTACTTTGAATGTTGTAGGTAACAAATATAAAAAATGATCAAGTCCCAGTATTACTTTTCTTTCAAGCAAGTGCCATTCTGACATGCTTCAGCTTTACCTGAGAAGAGCAATGGTAATATTTGTTAATGCACGAATGGTTCGTGTACTTCTTACTTTATTGCATTATGTATCAATTCTGAGTAAATTCTTAATTGTGTATCTGTTGAAAACAGACCAATTTAAATATTGATAGAATATAAAATTTGCTGTGGAGCTAAGATGCTGTCTTATGTTCAGTGTATTTACAGTTTGTTCCAGCTACCATGTTTTCCTCTTGCTTCCTTGTCACTTGCTATTCCTACTGCATTTTAATATGGCTTGGCCAGCACTCTGCCTCTTGTGTTTGTCACTGATTTTTCTCTTATTGTGAATCGGAAATGAACTACAATGGATGAGGCAAAATTAAATCTTGCAAAAAGCTTTTAAAAACTGAATGAAGGGTGAGAGAGACATTTTAATTCAATGCATCCATTAGATTTTTCTGCTGTTAAATTAAAGGGTGCCATTCCAGAAGACTCATGTAGCTATTCACTGTTTTTACAGAACTGGAATAACTCTAAATGGAGTGTCCAGTAATTCATTTTCTACATACATTCAATTGGATAATGAAGTTTTTCTAGTAGATTTTTTTTTAAAAATTGCTAAAGGGAATAACAATGTAATAACTTTTATTGATAAACAGTAGCAGAAAGAGTCTGATTCTAACCAGATGAATCAACAACAGATTATATGGTGCTATAAACATCTCCTTGAAAGCAGGGATCCTTTTTAAAATGCACTCAGTGCTGATATGCAAAAACACATTGTAATATTCTAGATTGTTAAGAACATATGTGAGACTAAGGGTTATCAAAATAGTCACATATTAACTTCTTGTTTTTCAAAAGTTTTTTAACTGACCTTTAAAAAAGAAAAAGGTAGGATTAGGAACGCATTTAAGTAAATCCCATCTGTTGCTGCTTCTTTTGGGATCAAAAATGCCAGCAAATTCAAGTAAAATTAAAGGTCATCATGAATCAGCTATATGTGGTAGCTGTCCATATCTTATTTAGTGGTAATGTCCTGCATCGTTCTTTTAAAGCAAGTTTGCAGGGAAGTTGAAAGCCAAAACACTTCAATATTAATGTTAGTACTGTAGTGGCTGATGTTTCACAGAAACAAACAGAAAAATCCAGGTATTTCTTGAGATACGTGACTGACGTACCTTTCAAATCATATGCTTTATTGATTTCCATGGTTACCATAATGGTTTTTAATAGTGCATGAAGCAATCAAAGCTCTGTTTGTTCCAGTGTATTATCTTGAATTTCAGTCTGGCAGACAGAACTGATAACTGCTAGTATTACTGGTCAGATAAATTGAGATAAAAGTGAATGCAACAATTTGTGAAAACCAAAGGCAGTTAACATCAAAATGTGCTGAAAATTCAAAAGAAGTTATATTCTGTTGGAAGTTAAATTGTTTCGAGTGTTTTATCATCATTTCTTTTAGGCATTGTTGTTTTTTTTATCTGTATTGGAAGCGAGTATAAAGTGACTAGCATGTTTCAAAATCTTAAAATACTGAATTTTGGAAGATTGGGAATGAAATATGTAGGCTCTGAATTTTAAAATTAAATACTTGAATACTAAACTGAAAGTTTTACGGGTTTTACCTTGATACTAACTTACCTGTCAACTAAGGGTGTTTTACAAAAAGGCTGTCAGCTGTTCACCAAATCTTTTACATCTCCATAGATGTCCACATTTAAATGTATTTATGTGCTTTGTCCTGTTTCTGTTGCAGCTGTGAAAGAAAGGGAGATAAGTGGTGGCAAGGGACAGAGCATGAATAAATGGAAGAGGAAAAAGATTATTTTATAAGGCCAGGACTAAGCATAACAAGCACTACAAATGTAACATGCCAACATAAATATTTCTAAAGTGCATGATACTAGGAATTATACAACTGATGGGAACTTGACATCCTGAGGTTAGTGTTCTGATGATGTTATTAATGAGTTGAACTTTCCAAAAGGGCATACTATGCAATGAAGCAGATATGAATGAGTGTAACTCCTGTTTCTGAGAAAGAATTTTGAAAATAGTCAAAGACCGGTCTCCAACAACTGAGAATCACACTTTGCTGTGTAACTAAAGCAGTGTTGCCAAATAAGAGAGTACAGTAAGAAACATATAAAAAAATTTCTCAAGTTAAAAAAAAAAAAGAAGGAAAGAAACTATGTATGTAGTTGATGTCTGCCAGTTATCGAACACAGGAGGCCATCAGCTGGTCTGTGTAGGTGGGAAAATTGCTGCATCAGTGTTTTAATTTTAGGAAAATTGGCTTTTAAAAGTAAATTCTGTAAGTCCTAAGAAAGTATTATTAGCAAACCATTTTTGATGTTAAGTGAGAATGTGATATTTAATCCAGAAATTGCTTGAGAAAAATATTGGAATAAGGTTCCTGCAATAAATCCCAGTGGCAGGTAAGCCATTCTGCATATCTTAAACTCCCTGTGAAAACTGACCTTGATCATTTTTCAATTTTATGTTTTTCAATAAAAATCCTGCAGAACGGTTGTGTGGTGTTCTTTTCTCTTGTCAACACAGATTCAGAGCGACTCTCACTGTCACCTTTTAATTCCTGAATATTCCTTCTAGCATTGTAGCATGAGAAGAGTAGTTAATCTACAGCACAAGATAAAGGCTTTACATAATAAACAATGTAACTGCTTTCATGTTTTTCTACATTCAGCTCCTATCAGCTAATTAAGATACCACTGTGAGTCTAATTTTAGGCTTCTCCATGGCTTCATTGAACTTTTTCCTGCTTGTTCCTGTGCTCCATGGAAGGGTATACTGTGCTGTGATGTGCTCAGAATGTATTGTAGAATTGTGTGGAAGTAATTGTTGATGGTTGTTCTTCCATCTATGTGGGGGGAGGGCAGCATTGGGCTGGTGGAGTGTCATTCAAGGGGGGAAAGGAGGTGGCTTCATCAGCAGCAGTAGTCCCTCAGCCAGATGGGAATATCGCACGCGAGCTGAAAGGCTGCTTTGAACAGATAGCTGTGCATGTTACTGGCCTTGCATCTCTGAGGCTTGCTGATGTTTATATACAAAGAAAAAGAAAACACTGGAAAACTGTTGTGGCTTGCTCTGTGGAACTGGAGCAGTTTGCCAGCTGTATCCAGCAACCAAGACACAAGCGTGTTGCAGTGTTCAGTTACACTGGCTAAAAATTGAAGGCTCTAGTACCACCTCAGCATGCTAAGACTGACAAAACATGAGGGGGACAAATGGTGTGGGAAGTGGGCTTTGCACTTGGAAGAAGCAGCTTTGAAACATGTTTTAACCAGTGTCAAATAGAGCTTTCTGTAATTTTTCTTCTGAAGTCCAAAAAATGCCCCTGCAAAGTGACCACTGAGCTTGTGCTGTAGCAAAGATGAATCGTTTCTGTTGTGTTACTGCTCTTAAAAGTCAAAACACCCTTAAGTGGCAAAAAGACACCTTGGCACCAAATAATGGAGCTTGACTTTGTCTTAATAGAATGCTATATAAACTTAAATGGATACTCTTTAAATAGCAGATTTTATTATAAAGATTCTCGGTGTGGTATATTTGCTTTGGGGGACACTACATGTTTTTATTAATATTTTTAGTTTGTCTTGTCACTTTTCTTTATACATGTTGATTGTAATTACAGTTGGGGCAGGGAGCTTTCTTTATCTTGAGTTGTCACATTCTGTGTCAGCTTGGCTGTAATGATAAGTTACAAAGTGTTGAAGGAAAGTTTGTATAGACTGTAGGCATGTCATCCCCATGCAAAACCAGGACATGAGTAAAATGCTATTCTGTAATGCTACCATGTTACTGCTCCCCTGCCTAGCTTTCCTCCACCTCTTAACCGATTTCCTGCTTTTCCCTGGTCTTCAGGTACCAGTACTGCAGTTCCTCACGTCCAGGCTGCCCTACAGACCTGCTGTCTTCTCCCTAGCACTTGGAGAAGGAGAAGGAAGCAGGAGGGGAGTGCTGTTCTACCAGTGACTAGGTAGGGCTCTGTGCTTTCCTATCGCTCTGACAGTGGTCTTTCTTCAATGCCTCTGCCTAACCTCTGAGTTTGGGGCACCAAATAAAATAACTGCAAATTGTTCTGAACTGACAATGTGGGAAATAATCCTCAGGAGCATAGAGGTAAATGTATGCAGATAATGCCCTTATTTGCTAGCAACACTTGGCTTTATTTCAAATGAATTTGTCACTGTGATGTGCTATTGGCACGACCTTGCCTGGTGAACATTGTGCACCTGAAGAAGCTGAGCTCTTACTTGCTAAGAAAAATGCTTCTAGGTGTTTGAAATCTTGCTACCACTTCAATCGTGCTTTTTTCTTGCTATCAATTGAAAATGAAGAGAAATGACACGTCACTTGTACAGGAAGTGCTTCAGGTGCATTTGTAAAAGTATTGCTAGGAAAGATCTCCCTTATTTCCAGTGTTTTCAGCTTAAATCTGCAGTGACAGCAATGCGTGCTCAGTTTGGCACAACTTGTCTCCACATAAGCTCAGAAAAGCAGAGTAATGGTGTCTCAAATGAGAGGTAATTCTGCCGAGGCAAAACTCCAGAAATTTGTAACGTTCCTTTTAAAAATACTGAACTAGCTTTTGAAGGAATTGTTTTCAGACCTTCGTCGTCTTGTACGACAAGGCGGGGAAAGGCCTATAAAACCCCACGCGCTAAACTCGAGACGTGACCCCACGGCTGATGAGCGCCGCTGCCTCTCGGGGCGCGCGCCCCGCGCTCAGTCTGGCGGCGCAGCTCAGCCTGACCGGCCGCTTTCGAGCGGCGCTGCTCCGCGCGTCCCACGTAACGCAGCTTTCAGTGCGGTTTGCGAGGCGGGCCCCGTCCCCGAGTGCAACGAAGCGCTCCCGGCCGCCCTTCCTCTCGCTGCGCGCGGCGCCGAGTCGCGCTGTGCCGGCCGGCCGCTCGGCGCGTGAACCCCGCCGAGCCCGGGGCGCGGCGCGGCCCTTGTGAGCTCACCGCGCCGCCGGGGCGGCCGCCGCCCTCGGAGCCGGCGGCTGGCAGCGAGCGGCCTCTCTCGCTCCTCCCCTCCTGCCCCCGCCGCGGTCGCCGGCGGAGGGGCCGCCGGAGCTGACAGGGGAGCCCCGGGAGACGGGGCGGAGCGGCGGCGGCGGCCGGGGGAGGAGAGACGGCCGCCCCGCCTCGGCGCCCCGCCGCCTTCCCCCGAGGGCCGCTCGCGGCGGCCGGCAGGGCATGTCCGCCGCGCAGGTGTCCGCCGCGCCCGCCGAGCGCCCGGCCTGGGGCGCCGAGGGCCGAGACGGGCCGGCGGAAGGGGCCCGGCGGAGAGAGCCCGGTTCGCCCGGCGGGAAGGAGGCCGCGGAGAGCGGCGGCCGGCGGGAGCCCGAGCCCGACGAGCGGCGGCGGCGGCCGGCGGCGGCCGAAGCCCCTCCGCCCAAGGAGAACCCGTGGACGAAGCGCAGAGCCGCGCGGGACGGCGCGGCCGACGGGCAGCCCGCGCTGCGGGAACCAGGTGCGGGGCGAGGCGGCGGGCCGGGCGGGCGGGGTGCTGGCCGGCGCCGTGCGTCGCTTTCGGTTCCGCGGAAACGCCGCGTGTATCGGGCAGAGCGCGTCCCGTCCCTTTCCTCCTCCCCCGGCTCCGCTTTCCGTCGCGCTGCACGCGGCCGGCCCCGAGAGCTTCTACATACATGGGCACGGCGGCGCGGAGGAAGGCTGCGGCCGCTGCAGGCCCGGCACCGCGAGCGGAGCGCTCAGCCGCCCGTGCGGCGCTGCTGACATGTAGGAGCGTTGCCGAATCCCCGCTGCTTTCCTGTGGGTCGGCTCTTTGTTTCTGTTTTGCTTTGGTTAGTTGTTTTGTTTTGTTGTTGTTGTTGTTTTACCTATTTATAGAATTTCCCCATTCGGTTCGCTCCTGAGTTTTTTCAGAAGGTTGGGCTTGCGAAGGCCTTAGTGTTAAGAGCTGTAGTCAGCTCGCTCGTGCTGACGGTTCAGGCTGCTTCCGTGGGAAGAGATGGGGACCAAGATGGGCAGCTTAGTGCAATTTGCTGGCCTTTAATTACCCCAAATGTAAAATAAAGCTGTGTGAGAGCTCCACACGGGCCGCGGGCTGCAGACCTGGCTGAAATTGCCCGGCGTTAGCCTTGGGCCCCTGTGGAGTTCCTCGAAGTCAGCACTTCTTGGAGTGCTGCTGTCAGCCTGAAGCAGCTGCCAGCCTCACATACTTAGCCTGGCGTGTGCTGCCTGTGCTCCTGAGGGCTCCTGACAGCCCCACTTGTGTTCTCGTGGTCGCTTTTATCCTGGAATTAATTGTGTGCCTTCCTCACGAAGAGAGAAATGTATCCCTGGACAGTTCCAAGCAGACACATCATGCAGGCAGACAGAAATGCTCTCCAGACCACAGAACTTTTATTTAACTGCAGATGAAACCTTTTGGCAGCACGTGTGCCCATCGGTAGCATGGGGCCGTGCTGCCTGTGTGTACTGACGCACTCGTAAATGCCGACTTAGCGTCGCTCCTGCAGCCCAGCGCTGTGCTGCAGCTGCAGTCCTGCCCGTACATGACAGGGAGCTCGTCACCTGCCCGAGCTGCTGGGGCAGTCCCAGTAATAGTACAGCGGTGCAGTAATGCCTTGTGGGCCTGGTCGGGCTTGTGCTGGAAATGCTGCTCTTTGCTGAGGTTTTGTTTCCCACTTAAGGCAAAAGACAAAAATAGTTGCTGGGGAAGAGAGAATGGAGGTGTGGAGTTCATGCACCATGTACATTACGTGCTTAGTTTGATTATTTCAGAGAGCTTTAAAGCTTTTCATCTGTACAGAAGTTATTATATATGAAATTACCACCTAACCGAGCTGTTGCACTGGACTATCTTTTTCAGTGACAGAATTCAGCAAATAGAGGAGTGGCTGGTGGCAGTGGTACCAGTAAAAGACATGTGTGGAGGGGTGTGCTGTGGTGTGGCTGCCACGGAGAGCTTTGGGGTGAGCTTTGCAGTGCCTGATCCAGCAGGGCTTCACTGTGTGTGTGCCACCATCTGCAGGAGTTGTGTTCTGAAGCAGAGAATTGACAGCAGTATCAGTTGCACAAGGCCCTTGTAAGTGTGGTAGTATGGAAATTATGCATATGAAATAGTAAGTCAGTGAGCAGAAGCACTGCTGGGATGGAATGTAAAACCGTCCATACAGGGGATAATAAAACGGAAAAGAATCTCGCATCAAAGTAGCAGCTGAATCCTGTTCAACTCGTTGATCTTGGCCTAATTTGTTGAAAGTTTCCTGACACATGCATGTATGGCGGCGTGCTCAGTGATAGTTACACGCCGAGAAGGCTGCTTTCAGGCAGTCATGCGCTGTGGTGTTACTCATCTGTACCACAGGCAGAACCAACTCCTTCTTTTGAAGGCAACTGCTAAATCACTGGACAGACAATAAAAGGAAAAAGTAATGGAAAAAGCTTAAAAGTCTTTCCTGGTGAAAGAATTCTGTCCAAGCATTGTTACCTTTTAATTTTGGGTGTCGGATATGTCAGTAGGTTTTAATAACACAGTGGTAAACCAAACACTTCATATGAACGTACTTGATGTTTTTATGGTGTGTTTGTTACTATAGTTGGGTGTTCTGGAGTAAGCCTTTTATTAAACTTCTCCTAAGTAGAACAATTTCAGAATGATACAACTGCTGCTGCTAATCTGCAGTTAATTCATGGAGAAAGATGGGTAGCAATATGGAATTGCCAATGAAGTTCATGGGTTCCTATCTAACCCCAGGATCCATGGCACAGGAAGCCAGCTTTGCCAGGGACTACCCATGGTTAAAGGCAGTTCTTGCAGCACACACGTTCCTCCCTGCTTCTCCTGTACTGCTGAGCTTTCACTGCGTCTTCATTTCTTCAAGTTGAAACTCAGTAATTAAGAGAGGAATGCTGCAAGGAGGAAGTGCCGTGTAATCATGTTGATAACCATTTTTTACCAGGTAACAAGATAAGTTTTGTTTTAAATGGAGCCAAGGAGATGTATCGCTACTTAGGCCGTGTAGCAACACAGCATTATTCCTGTTTTCCTTGTCTTTCCTTTGAATTTTGTTTTATCTTAGCCTGCCCTTGCAGTCAGGCTCTCCCAAAAGAGGTTGGTTACCCTTCCTCCACTTACATAATTCCCAGCATGGAGTTGTTGAACTGATTGTATTCAAAAGTTTTCCCAGCTCTTTGATGAAATACTGCCTTTTTTTAATAAGTTTTTAAAAAGGAACCCAAACAAGTTCTGTGGTCTGTATAGCTGATCCTGGACTCAATAGAGTCATTAGGTAATTGCTCAAGAACAGTCCATGAAGTTTATGGAACTATTCTTTAAAGTAAAATATCCGTGGTGAGTTTGCTTCCTAGTGTTCTTTGATATTGTAGTTAATAAAAGTAACTGCATGCTTCGGTCTTTCATATTTTGCTCAGTTTGTCATTCTTCACTCCATTGATTTCTGGACATTGAGGACTGCCGTCATCTGATTCTGTGAAACTGATTCACATGTGCTATTGATTAGCTATGGTCTGTTAATAAGCAGGTGTTGCTTAGGTAGCAGGTACAGCTTAGTAAAGGTGTGCTGTGTTATTAAGGATAACAGGCTTTACAGTTTTGATGAATAAATGGGCAAATGGGCAAAAAAGGACTATCAAATCCTTTGGTGTATTTCATGCAAATGCTGTCATTATTTCTCATTAATTCACTGTGGGTTTGAGTAGCAGCTTTTTTATTTTAAGAATTATCAAGAGATACAGCATCAGTGATTATCCTACCCTTGAAGGGAGTAAAAGCATTCTCAAATCTGCTGTCTGTGTTTTCCAGACCTATGACAGTGCATAGAACACAATCTGTTTGCATGGTGTGGTATTTTTGGTTACTAAACTGGAGACTGTTAGGAGAGAGAAATGCATCCTGCTGCCCAGAACTCCATGCAGACCTGGCTGTGCTCTGGCACGTGCTCCTGCTTCAGCATGAGAGCTTTTGTAGAAACTGAGCCACAGGTTGCAGCTTTCTATGAAGCAGCTAAGAACTAAATAATAGTAGAAATGAAGCAGAGGTTAAGAAAGAAGTGTAATGATTGACGTCACATGTTGAAGACTTCTTTTCCTATTGATTGTTCAGCACTTGTTACACTGAAAAGCTCATTCTGACTATAAACACATGTAAGGCCCCGTCTGGAATATTGCATCCAAGTGTGGATCCCCCAGTGCAAGAAAGACAGGGAGCTGTTGGAGAGGGTCCAGAGGAGGGCCACGAAGATGATCAGGGGACTGGAGCACCTCCCCTATGAGGACAGGCTGAAAGAGCTGGGCTTGTTCAGCCTGGAGAAAAGAAGGCTGCGGGGTGACCTCATTGCAGCCTTTCAGTACCTAAAGGGAACCTACAAAGAGGAGGGGAATCAACTCTTTGAAAGGGTAGATAACTGCAGGACAAGGGGAAATGGTTTTAAGTGGAAGGAAGGGGAGATTTAGGTTGGACGTCAGCGGGAAGTTCTTCACAGAGAGAGTGGTGAGGTACTGGAACAGGCTGCCCAGCGAGGCTGTGGATGCCCCGTCCCTGGAGGTGTTCAAGGCCAGGTTGGATGGGGCCCTGGGCAGCCTGGTCTAGCATTAAATGGGGAGGTTGTTGGCCCTGCGTGTGGCAGGGGGGTTGGAGATTCGTGATCCTTGAGGTCCCTTCCAACCCTTGGCCGTTCTGTGATTCTTTAAGGATGCTGGTGACATAATGCAGTGCCTTGGTTTGTTCAAGTAGCGTGAGGAAGTTGGTCCAACTAATGCTGTTTTGCTATAAAATGCTTGAACTACTGTAGGAAAGGATGTTAGTAAGAATCTTGGATCATAAATCCATTCTTTAAATTTACACTAGCATATGTTCCAAGGGATTATTTTGTCACGTTTGCAAGACCTATACATTTATTTGTTAAAATAAATAAAAGGTTCTAAAATAAACAGGCTAAAATAAACCTAATTTGCCTTATAGTTGGTGATACTTGGGTAATGCATCTTTATGTGTAAACTTTGCGCCTCTACCTCTGCACAGCATCTGATTTCACCTTTTCTTTGCTGCTACTTGAGGATTGCTGCTGTTCTGGCAATTTGTCTTTTGTTTTTTTCTAACTGTTGTCTCATACCTTAAAATACTGCACTTGACACGTTGGCACATCCATATCTTTCTGCAGAAAATAGCTTATGTTAGGATGTGATGTATGAATTCTGATTGTTATAATTAAACTTGCTCATCCTTGATTGTTTTTTCTTTCTGCTCACTCCTTCAACGTTCAACTAAAACCCACCAGGTAAAGTAATTGCAGACAGCTGTATATTTTCAGGGGTTGCTGGTTTCTGTTGTGGCCATAAACTGAAGATATCATTTCTGGTATTCAGCACTGTTACATGATTCTGAAACCAAAGGCTGAGCTAACATTCAGCATGGAGCTTTTATCTAAATGTATGGTAGAGTGAGCTTTGTCTGCATGGAGGCTGTACTCCTATTTATGAGAATATGACATACTTGATTGAGGTAAAATTTTTAAGGGAGCCCATGTTTTGTTCTTTCACTCTCTCCCTCCTTTCCCCACTCCTTATCTTCTCTTTCATGCTTCACACCAAAATCCAGCTCCCAAATGATAAGCTGGCTGGCCAGGAGGGGTCAGTTACATCTGGGTCTGAAAGAGACCCTGGAAACCTGGAGGAGCTCTTACTGGGGAACATGCCTGAGCTCACTGGCCTTTCTGCTCAGAATGGGCGCCATCAGCTAGCCAATGTTTTTGCCTGGTGTTAATTTTCTTTTCACTTAGTGTGCAAGTGTATCTTTTAAGTCTTAGACTACTACATGTTAGATTTATAAACAGATAAGAAAGGTTACCTACAAAACAAGTTGGGTCTCATTTTGCTTGATTCAGGTGGCCTCTGTTGCTGCCTTGAATAACATCCTATGACTAAGCTACTGTGGTGAAGCCGAGTTGGCTTTTTTTCTGTTTAATTCCTTGCTTTACCAAGGATGCACTGAGAGAAGTTGTGACAGAGCAGTCCTTGGGTAGCAATTTAAGTAGAAGTGCTGTGAGGTGAAAAAGGTCTTCGGTAAGGTAACCAAACAGCTAAAAGGAGAGCTCTGTTCAGAGAGCAAACACTATGGCTGGTCAGTTTGCTGTGGCGGGCAATTGGCAGCTTTGTTGTTGGCACAAATTAGCTTGTTGCTGCATGACTACAACCTTTTTTTGCTTTATTTCATAGAGGGTGGCAGTTGTCTATTGAATGGTAAGTAAAAGTTAGGATCATACATTAATTATGTGCGCTGGGCATAAGGGTGGGGTTCCCAGGGTGAAACTGCAATGAGGAAGATTAGCAAAGTCAGTGGATGTCAGAGAGATAAGGGCTGAGGAGATGATGTTATCCTCAAGGAACTAAAAATCCCCTAGTGATTTCAGCCGTGCTCAATGGTTTGAGCTTGGCCTTCAGTAAAAGGCTGAAAAAAACTTTTCCATGAAAGGTTGTAGCTGCTTCTCTATGGGAAAGAAAACACAGTGAGAGTGAAACTAAGGCAACTGGAAGAATGTAATTAAAAAATATGCATATTGAGAACAGAATGAAGGTAGGAGAAACTAAAAGTTGATTTTTATCTGTCTGGATCTACTCTCCCAAGAGAAGTTATCTGGTAATAGTTCTGTTGAGTTGTTTTTTTTTTTTTTCCCTTGAATGTTCAACAAAAAAAGCTAGAGCACAATTAAATGGGGGGAAAATGAGAAAATTGCGTTCATGTACAGAATGGAAATTGCATATATATTAAAAGGTGTAATGACTTCAAATGGGCACTGTTGCTCAGGAGGAGTATTGTTATTATGAAGGTTAGGTCTTCTCTTAGAATGGTTCTGAAAATGCATGACTATCAGCTTTCTGGCAGCTAGTTACATTTATCATAAGCAGGTTTTGTAATTTGTGGAATCTGAACAAAGAAATGTATCTACCTTACATTTATTTTGTCTTCTATTGCTTTGATTTGTTTCTGAGCAGTATGGCTCACTTCTTTAGCAGTTGCGTGATTGCTTATGAATTGAAATTACTAGGAATTTGTCAGTGTGTAACAGCTTTTTTTCATGCTCATGTAATGGTAAATTTCCTAAATGAATCGTGTGCTTTAAATATAGCTTCTAATATTTGGGTATTTGTTTGTTTGGGGTCACATTTTTGCTGATAACTGAATTAAAATATCATTGCTTAGAGATAGTCTTGGCATTGTAGCTCATCAAATGCTTACATACTGTCATGTAATATTCTGCTCACCTGGTTTTTTGAGGCTGTTTACACTTGTTGTGAGTTTGAGGTTTTTTGATGCCATATGTTATTAGTTATCTTGTAGTACTCTTGTAGTAATTATGTCTATGAATGTTCATTGGCTTCAATACCAAGCCCACTAAGAAACATTGGTGTAAAATGCTAGATAGCAGAGAAATTATTAAAGCATACCTTATGCTGCTTAAGCACAACTTACTACATTGCCTGAAAGTATTTTTTGTTGTTGTTCTTTTTCAGAACTAGAGAATTCCACTAAACATGTAAAAGCAGCAAAAGCCAGGACAAGGAAATGCAGCAAGGTTTGTATTTGCCAGAAGAACATTTAGCTTGGAGTTAATGGGCTGCTTGTATTAGAAGACCCAGTTAATATAGCCTGCTTATCTAAACTGGCATTTAGCTCTGCTGATAATACGGTAGGAGAATGAAATCATTTCAAGGAAATGTTTCCACTTGTAAATATCCACAGTAGCTAACAGCTGCTGCTATTAAAAAAGGAAAGGAAAAAAAAAAGGCAAGATATTTTGAAGTTAAGAACAGAAACTTTTGTTTCATCTTCTTATACTTTGACAGTGGTTAATTTTGAAGACAGAGAAAGGTAGAAAACTAAAGTGGTGTGTGTACAAGGGGGTTTGAACAAGGCACGAAATTATATAAAATGAGAAGGGGCTATAATGAAACAATGTAATTTGAGGACGTGGGATGATAGGTTGGTTTTGGAAATGCTATTTCTGTATTATGTTAATAATGAGTGTATTTTATTTTTTGTTGTAAAATGACTATGACAGGAGAGACGTTGAATCTTCTTACTGAACGGTTAAATTTCTAACATTGTGTGCAGTCACGCTTTCTTAGATTGAGTAAAACCAGTGCTCAAAGGTCTTCCAAATGCTAAAAGGTGTTAAAGAGGAGGATACCTTTAAAGCAAGTAGGGAGCCATGTGTAAGACAACAATCAGCCTTGAACGTTGTTCTTTGTGTACTTCAGTCTGAACTCGTTAGTCTGTTCTAACAATAGAATGTAAAGAATTTTGCTTGTTTATCATCTTTATTTGGCCATGTCCACTTACGTGTTTTGAGTGAAGACATTCTTTAGACAGTTGCTATCACATAGTAGGTAAGATGTGTTGTACCTCGTTTTGGATGTAATTGCAAAGATTGGTTATTTCTGCTGTCGATATATTTTGTTTTAAAAAGCTGCTTATTTATTTTGTGTTGTATTTCCCAGCTTTTAAGAATTGCTAATTCTAACAGCTTTGTTCAAATGGGGATAGTCTTGTCATCAAAGTCAGGACAGTCATCTTCTATGTTTTAAAAGGGGTGAGATCTTGGAAGTAGCACAAAATATGACTGTCTTTGCAGGCTGGTGATTTTGTTGATATCGGAGACTGGCCAACACCAAGTGAAACAGCAAACAATGAAGTAAGTATTTATTGTTATCTGCAATACTATTTTATTAAGAATCACGTGGCCTTCTGTGATTAATGTGGTTGCCATATTCTAGAGTTTGTATTTAATGATAATAATATTATATATATATGCGTAATAATAATTCCAAATGCTGGTCTGTGCTTTACTGTCTATCCTAATACAAGAATGTCTGAACCCTTCACAAGCATACATACATGCACTCTTTCTAGCTTTGCCTATGTGAACGTGCAGAGTAAAAAAGCGCTGTATTTAATGCACCATGTATTTCTTTTATTTCCCTTTTCTGTTCTTCGAGAGGTTTATAAACAGCCACAGACCTGTAACTTTTGGGACTGTGAGCATGCTACACTCTCTTGTCCTTGAATTGTTCTATGCATAGGTGTCCTGGGAATTACCAGAGGAATGGGGATGGAGAAAGGTTTTTTTTCCTATTGCCAATGTCATCAAATTCTTTATTTTACAATATCTCAAGTGATACGTGCATGATATCTCAGACCTCTCTTGTGTTACGTTATTTAAAGCAACGAAGCATAGACAATTCCTGTATATCTGGTGCTGTTTAACTCTGTGCTTTAGTCCTAGCAGAGCATCTTTGATTTTTCTGCTTTTTCATGGTGAGGGAAACCAGAAGATTTGGGTTCAGCACTGTGTGTTGTATAATTGAAAACATCCAAATAGAAGCTGAAAAAGAGCATATTAAGGAAGTTCAGTATAAGTCGTTTGTCCTGTGGGCTCAGATTCTAACACCTTCCCTTTCCCCTAAGTCCTATCTGTATTGTTTATATTAACAACTAAACATCCTCAGGTTTCTCACCAGGCTTTTCACATTGCTGGTCAAACTTCTAGATGTCTGTACATTTGACACAGCACTATGTTTTCTTCTAGGTAGAATTTGTCTCTTCGAGGAGCTTTTTATATAGAGAAAATCTTTGATGTTTCTAGAAGAATCTTTAAAACCTGAACAGATTAAATGCAGATAAAGTAATGGTTGTTCAGTCACTGAAATACCAGCTGGAATATTTTAGTGTGGACGTACATGCCACCAAGGTGCAGGATGTATATAAGTTCCTTGATTTAACTTCTCTTTAGTATCAGTAAGTTCTGTCACTAACATTCCTGCCAGTTGTTGAGATGCTGCTGCTCCAACTCTGCTCACAGGGGAACAGTGGTGATATATTTAACAATACCACAAGGGACATGTGTTGATAGACTCGCTCTCTAAGGCTGCTAATTTACTGGATAACATTAGAAGTGTGTAACTTCACTGGGCATCAAACTCCTGTTTGATTATTCATAAAACTAGAAACAGTTTCATGTGTGCATTTTGTACCTTTGATGCAAAGTGCGCATCCTCTTCATTTGGCACAGTCTAATGACTCAAGCCGTTCCTGAAGATCATGCTTTCAATTTCACTATGGATTGCTTTTCATTTGTAATTTTTCAGGTACATCTCTTGTAATACATGAGATGTAGGAGGCAGCTATGGGCAGATAAATTCTAAAACAATGCCTACAAAAATAAATTCTATACCATAAGTGTTCTGATTCTCAGAAAAGGAGAGGGTCTACCGAGCTTAGTTCTGCCAGATTTAATAGCATTCAAAGAATTCCGTTTTATATCTTTTAATAATACTTTCAATTGTTAAAGCTGATCTATAATTAGGTCTAGAATATGCTTATTTTACCATATCCTTTTTTTGGGGGTGTCTGGAAAACATACACCCGTATCTTTTGTATTCTGTAGTAGCACAGTGCTTTAACATCTGCTGGTTGTGTGAAATTTAGTGTGATTGATGATTTCTGTACAGTATTAATCAGAGTGGTTGAGACAAAAACAGAAATGTGTGATGTTTTCTGAAGTAGTCTCTCAGGAGTATTTATTCTTTTAAGATTTTTTGCTTTCCCAAGTGGTCTAGATTGTATTGCATGAATGTTAATTAAACTTCTGTTGGCTTCAATATGTGAGAATTTAATCACAGAAATCCATGTAGTGTCTGTTAAACCAAACATCAGTTCGTATTTTATCTCAGTTGATTTGTTTAGGGGAAGGTTTTGTATTCAAAGTAATTATGGGGATAGTACTGCCGTATCTACTGTATGCATTCCAGCAAGTTCAAAGCAGTCTCCACAACATAGGAAAACTTAAGTTTGGCAAAAATGGTTGTAAGGTTTAATTTTGCATGAAGACATTATATCCACTCCAAATGACGTTTTCCACTATTTAGTGAAATGCTGTTTTATGTTCTTTGAAATTTGCTGTTCTATGAGATTTCCAAGAAATGGTGATTTGCAGGATGTTGGCACTACTCAAATGCAAACAGTTCTAAGTAAATGCTATATTCTAATTTTTTGGGAGGAAAAGAGGGGTATAAATCTAATCATACAGCTCCACATCTGTTTTTGGCTCATGTTCTGATTTAATGAAACAGATTTGACAGAGTTAAGAGCTGTTGCTCCTTATAGTTTACATGGACAGCTGGGATTGGTAAATCAAAAAATCACACGATGCTGTGCATTCACAGTTCTGTGAATATAGCTTTTAAAAGTCAATCAGTCTTTCTTTCTTTCCTGTAGTATGAAATTCAGTTTTGAGGTATTTGTTGTACATTCTGTAGCTTTGCAACTTCATGTTAAAAACCAAACCAGACCCTGTTCCTTTTCAAGTATTGTCTTCATAGTCTTGGTAGACTAGCGGAAAATAGGGTTATTTTTTTAAAAAAAGACTTCACAAGGCAACACAGTTGTTAAAACTCACCATCCTGAAGATTTCAAGAACAGCTAATAGTAAAGGAATTTTAATAGGTGAAAGAAATTTATCTTTTGCTATCACCAGCTGTGCTGTCTGAAATAATTACGAGTATCTTTTTCAGTGCAAGTCTCTAAGTCATGGTAAGAAGCCAACAAATAGAAAAGAAAAGGAGGAGAAATTTGATCCAAAAGGCAATAATGGAACCAAGGACAACCTGGAGGCTAACCCAAATGGTCCGGGAGATAACATTAGTGAAGATGAAGGTCAAACTAACAACCAAAGGAAAAAAGGTTTGTCTGGGTACTAAGTGTATTGCAGTAATTAATTGTTGATGCCTTTGTGTTAGTTCCAGTTGAATGACGTGATGGAACATTTTGTTTTGCATTTTTGAGGTAATAACAGGATACATTGTGTTAGGAAGACTAAAACTGGCCTCCTTTCTCAGATTTTGGAGTGTCCTATTTAGTCAAACAGGAATTCTGGAGAAAAAGCAGTTCATGTCCCCCTGGTGATATATAGAGCTCTGACAGAAAATCTCTGGAAAATTGTGGTTTCATTTGATTATCATCTTTCACATTTTTATTCATTGAATAGGTAGAACTGTGTTCATTTAATTTCATACACATATATGCATGCACGGCACTATAGGTGTTATCATTTTAATTTTCATATTCTGCTACTAGCTTACACCTTGAAGTGATCGCTTGAAAACTAAACCAGGTTTGTTGTTTCCTCTTGATCCAATCTGTAACATTAAAAATAGGAAGCAATCATCTCTTTTTCTTAGTCAGTAAACTTGAGTGAAATGAAGACAGAATTGAGGCTTTATAATATTGCTGCCATCAACTGCTTTATTTCTTGATTCCTTAGTGATAGTTCTTCAGATCCTAAAGACCTTTGTTGTTTAGATTTGTTAATCTTGCTGTGTGTATATTAAAAACAAAATCCTGTAGTGCTTTTAGTTTTTTTAATCTAAGTTGAAGTACAAGGCAAAGCATACCACAGGAACAAACTTGGTTGGTTTTGTTTTTCCTCCAATGTGGATTATGAGTGTTATGTGTTACAAAGTTCACAATATTAGTCAAGCATAGAACTATGAATATTATCACTAAGTAAATGGCCAGTAGATGTTTAGGCCAGCTTTCAGCAAGGTACAGCTTTGCTTACTGTTTTTGATGCACAGAAATGAATTTAATCTGAACGTCTTGATGTAAAACTGCTATACCACAGCAAAATTCTCAGGAACTTTTGTATGGTTAGTGATTGCAATCTTTATTTCCATTAACCTGGCATGCTATTTTTTACATAACGTTTCATGTGCAAATTGTGAAATTATTTAGTAATGAATTTAGTGTATGTATTTAACTGTATATTTATGGAGCATGCTTACATCTAAAAATTAATTTAAAAACTCATCTTCATTTACTTCATATAAGGTTTCCATTCATCTTGAGAAGTTCTTGTTTACTGTATCTGTTGTTGTTCAATCATTTATTATATCTTAAAAATACAATCTTAAGCTGCTTCTCCTATTTTTTTCACATGGGAATTTACTGTTATTTATAATTTTAAAAGCAGTATTAAATAGAATCTTAAATGGGATTTGAAACTTCAAGCAATATTATAATTAAGAATAAGGTGTTAACTTCTTAAGGTAACAAGCAAAAATGGGTTCCACTTCACTTGGATGATGTAAGGTCAGATAGTCAAGAAAGATCAAGCTCTCGAAGTAACTCAAGATCTCAGCTGGAAACAAACAAGTTAATACTTCATAACAACAGACGGAATGAGACAAGAAGTAAGTAGTTTTCAATCTCTTTGGGTCTTCCCTTTGTAGCAAAAGAAGTGTGACTTAAAACTTGTTTGCTGTTAGCGTAAGTCCAATCAAACTGAAGCAGACACATTGAAAGAGCTATGCTGCTCTTCTTGGGTGAAACCACAAGAGTAGGCATTAGTTTGGCAGCTGATGTTGAAACTTGACTTTGCCAGTACTAAAATCCAAACCAAAACAAAAAAAATAGTGTTAATATTTGTCAGGATTCATAAAAATAAATGAATTGTACCATAGTGCAATATTCAAGTTTTAAACTGGAAAGTCTTGTTTAAAACCTTATATTAGATTATTAGATATTCTTCACATATTCATCAGAATTATAACATCTCAGTTAATGACTCTTTTGAGTAAAAGAGCTTGGTAACAGTCTATTTTTACAGTCTGTGCTGGTTCAGAACCACGTGTTCTCCTGATGTCTAATGAGTATGTTTTGGGCCACAGTTTCACAGTGCAGAAAGTCTGATAATGTTCTTGTAATAAGGTTGCTCTGTCCTGCTCTACTCCTGTTCCTCCAGTTTGTTGCATCCAGAGCAATTGCTTGTGTGCTTCACGCTTTGAATTCTGCATTGGCAATTCTTCTGGTACTGTTCTCTTCTTTTAAGTTCATTTCCCCAATATATTTCTCAGCATGGCCACTGGCACAACAGAGGGTACAGTGCACCGTATCACACAGAATCACAGAATCACAGAATTGCCAGGGTTGGAAGGGACCTCAAGGATCATGAATCTCCAACCCCTCTGCCACACGCAGGGCCAACAACCATTCCACCTAATGCTAGACCAGACTGCCCAGGGCCCCATCCAATCTG